TGCAATCTCGTCCTTACTCCTCATATTTCATTTATTGTAGTGACTGTTATGTTGTACCTTGATGCAGAAGGAGAGGAGAAGTCAACGTGACTAAGAAGGTGTAGGAACTTAGGTTAAGACAACAAAACCACTTGGTCAGGGTTAGGAAAAGATTGTGGATGATGAGACTAACAACTGATGTGACAAAAGAAGTCAGTGTTGTTTCTCGGGTCAAAGTCCTGTGCTTGTTGAGCTTATCCACCTCCAATCCACCCAACCTAAGCAGACCTCCAGGATCTTTAAATACATCCCTTGCTATGAACATCTTATAATGTCAAGGATGTGTTTACATTGGAGTTGGTTGAAAGCCCCATGAGTCCAATACAGATGCTAAATGGTGCCCCTGGTGTCACTATAATGATACCAGGGAAACTTCCAAAGCATTTTGACACTCTGGGAATGAGACCAGGCTGATTCTTTACACAACTACCTCTTTGTTCAAGAACAAGAAGAATTCGCTTTTACGTCTGGAACCTCCTGTCTACAATGGGTTTGAGATGCGCCCTCATTGAGGACTTGGCTCAGATTCTGGAGTTACTCTCTTATCCTGAAGCCTCCTTAAGGAATCTGATCCCATTTGGTTCTGCGGTGGGAACATCTTGCGACCGCATGCCTTTGGTGATGTGGACCCCGGCAGGATTTGAACCCTGGACCTTCTGCATGGAAGGCAAGTGCTGACCACTAGAAAAACACTTTTGGCACTACTACTTTCAACACTTTGTTTCTCTTCTCATGTGTTGAGCCAATCTGCCGGTCAGAGTGATACCAACAGGCTCCACCATCGCCAATGAATCAGCTGAAAAAAAGAGCCAATGGGAGCCAATTTGGAGCAACGGTGCAGGACACACCACAGCGACTAGGGCGAAAGACGCTGACTGACGGGCCAACATTGACAACAGCCGACTGTCGGCTTGGTGTGTCAAGGCCTTTACATCCAACATTCTGCTACCATAAGTACTCACTAATACACCAAATGTGTATTATTCCACAGCTGAAAATAGTCCCAAACAAATACTATTTACTCAAGTTTGAGTTACGTTTGCTAAAATTACAGTGCCTTGCTGTTTTAGAATTTCTTTCTAGACTGAAAAAAAAGTTACATTTGTGACCTTTTTTTTAGGATTTTTATGCAATGAATGGACTTCAGGTTGTCAGACAGGACAGGGAAGTAAGGGAATAATGAGTGCATCGGCATTGTTAACATGAAAAAGTCATATCTTTGTAAAGAAAGAGAAACTATGGACAGATCCTGTATATCGTTAGCTGTGGACTTATGCTGGTGCCATCCTCTTGTGTTGAGGTCTGAGAGCAGATCCCATGTGAGGCAAAGGCCACGTTAGCTAAAGCAGAACACAGTGAAAACCTGATGAAGAGGGACAGTGAAGTGTGTTGGTCAAGAATGAGACTCTCTTCTACAAGACCCCTCCAAACAGCAAGGAAGGGAGCCTGTTATTGAATACTGTTGTTGGCCCATTGTTAAATTACAGCTTAATTCCTTTTCCATCATCATAACCATTTGTTTTCCTTACAGGGTGAGGATAGGGGGATGAGATTGGGCACTGCAGCGGAGGAAAAGGGAGGGGGCAGACTTTTGCTTTGCTCTAACTCTGATTTTTAATGCTAGGAGTGTTTCGGTGGCTATCGCATCATGACTTCACCCCTCAGCTGATTCCTGCCATTGGTCATATTTGACACCTCATCTACACAAGGCCAAAGCCGCTACATTCAGGAAACACTTTTTCCTCTCATTTATTCCCAGTGAACTATTGAATCTCCACCACACCTCCCTGTCTGTTATAAATTCATCTTTTCTCCTATTTTCACCCTAAAATGTGTTTTTAAAAATGTAACTTTCCCATGTAATTTCCTGGTGCCATCTTGGCCTTATCACATTTTCTATGTGGCTTTTTTAGCCATGTTAGTGGCAATGTCAGTGGGTCTGATGATCCACTTCTGCAGTCCTGAAATATTTCAACACCTGTTGGTTGCATTACCTCAACATTTGGGGCAAACATTCATTGTGTCCAGAGGATGAATCCTATTTACCTTGGTGATTCTCTGACTTTTCCTCTGGTACCATCAACAGGCCATATTCTTGACTTATTCTGAAATATTTCAAAATCTACTGGATGGAATGTCACATTATTTTAATACTCACCAGATGGTTTTTTTTTTTTTTTTTTAATTTTTTAACCAAGACATCACTGCGTTTCCTGCTGGAATAGTGCCATGAAAAGCGGCTGTGTTTTACTGAGACATTGCTGCATTTCCAGCCAGAATAATGCCACAAAATCTGTTTTTTAAGCCCAAATGTGATCTTCTCCTCGCCATAACCAAGTGGTTTTTGTGCCTAAACCTAACCACACATTAACCACAGCATTTCTGAAACGTAAAATTTCAATGTATCGGCTACATAATAACGTACAAATGTGACGTAGGCTTTTGGTGGTTTGCAGAAGCCTACAATGGCAATGGCAATATTTTTTTTGGTGATTGGGTTTTTGGTCCGATTGAAATATTTTAGCAACTATCAGAGACATTGTCATAAAATTTAGCACAGACCTTCCTGATGCCCGCATGATATATCCCACTGACTTCGGTGATCCTTGCTCATTTACTCTCTCGCCATCTTGAGGTTCACATTTTTGACTCTGAGATAAATATCCTGACATTTATTTGATGGATTAACACGAAACTTATAGATATTCATGCCCCTTTCATGATGAATAGTAGCAACTTCGGTGATTCTCTGAGTTTTCCTTTATCAGAATCATCAGGTCAATTTTCTAATTTGTTCAGCACTTTGGTTTATGACCTGATACCCTCTAGCTTTTTAGCTGATAGGTGGGTATACTGTAACTGGATAGAAAAAGAAGTGGGCATACCCAGTATACCTGAGTATACCCTCCACTACACCACTGCCCCTAAACATATGAAATTCCTATCAGCTCCAGCTGTACTATATGTTCTTATACTATATGTTCCATGCTAAACTAAGATGGTAAACATGGTAAATATACCTGCTAAACATTAGCATGTTAGCATACTGACATTTAGCATTTAGCCCAAAGCGGCAGTCTTGTGGTTTTGTACTCGGACCACATTCTTTCACATCATTTGCATGAATTATATAGTGATTCAAAACAATTCTCTAGAGTCTACATATTTGACCCATCCATCCAGATATCTGACAGATAGTTAAACAAACAGAGCATCACCCATCCCCAAATCTAAAGCCCATTCACTCCACCTCAAACCAATCCCTCTCCCTAACCCTCCTCCTTTCTCGAGCTGCCCTTGAGCTTTTCTATTACCGCATGGAAAGCACCTAGCAGCCCCTGACAAGCGCAGCGGATCGACACTAAATCAGAAATCAGTGCCAGCCGCAGATCTGAGCCACCATGAAGGTCACAGGCCCTACACTGCATGTCGTCTCAATCGGGGGAGCAGGAGTAGACACAGCTTGGGTGATGTGTGACTGTGTGTGTATGTGTGTGTGTACGTGTGCCTGGTATGTGTGTTATCTGTGTTAGCAGGAGAGACACTGAGAGGAGGAGGAGGATGGAGAATGGAGGAGGAAGATATGAAGAGAGAGAGCAGGTCAACATTAATGCAGAAGTCAAGGGCTGGAGGAGAGAACTAAGGGCAAGTAAGCAAAACTATAGACAGTGCAGTATTGAAATCATACAGGGGAATCAATCAAATGATTTGATTTAGTCCTTCATGATTAAACATATAATTTAGGTAAAAGGGAAACACATGGCAAGAATACCTGGTTTTCCCTGGCTAATGGAGGTTTGAACCTTCCTCTGATCTCATGGGATTGTTACATACTGCCATCTAGTTGTACAAAGGAGAACAACAGCCATTTCAACATAGGACATTTCCTCTCCACTCAAAAATGTGTGTTATTTGTTGTTACCTCACTTGATTGTATGCAGAATTTGAAACTTCATATTCCTCTGCTGAAGGGGGAAAGTTACTTTGCGCTTACCCTACATTTGTGTATTTACAAGCACACTTAGGAAGCCAGCGCCAATGGTGCAGTCAAAATGTAATTTACACCTGTGATGTGGAAATTTGAAACCTGTGATGCACACATAGATTAACTTGTGTGTAATTTTTTAAAATAAAAAACTGGGGTCTTTCCTCCAAAATTTAGGGCTAAATTCAAATAAATAAGCTTCTTCATTCCTTCAGGTAATGTACAGTGCACAAGGCTGAATAGGTTTGGTTTAACACACAATGACTGATAACTCACACCTATCAAAACCAAATGTAATTTCCGTTTATTTGAATAAAAACTTATTTTCCTCTTAAATTAGTTAATAAAATAATTCATTCACAGCGCTGTGATAAAATACTTGATGTTGATGAAATATTACTATTTTAAACTTTAAATTTGGTTATGATTTTTTTTTATGATGGAAGGAAATGTGAAAATCCAATGATAACTTCTGACTTAACAGTGTCTGGCTATGAAAAATGGTGTAATTTTGACAATTTTTAAAGAAAACATGCATGTTTTCTTTAAAAATCAGCAGTAAAATAAAAAAAAAAATACATGATTAAAAGTTGTATGGCCCTTCCCTGAACCAAAATGAAAATCATAAGCCCCTCCTCCCAATTCTTAAAAAAAAAATTTGACATGCCTCCCCCTACTGTAATTTGAATTTGCCTAGTTATACTAATAAAGCAGTAACAACACAGTTTGCATATTCGTAGACGGTGTATGAGTATGCAATTTCAATCATTTTTGACATGGTAATTTGACTTCTTTTGGCGGAAAAACACAAAAAAAATTTCAAAACAAAATATTTACAATATATTTTAAAGACAATCTAGCGCACTGCCCTTGAGTAAAACACGACAAATTAATACCAATAAATAAAATGTTTTAGTGAAGCAGTCCCAATATTTAGCGACGTGAATGACTTCTGTCCTACCAAAGCTTCCGTAGTTTGAGTCACATGAATGATTTGTTTAGGTCGTGACAGAAATGCACCCTTTATTAACATCTAGCTAGCTTACATGAGATTGTATTAACCTTATATTTTTGGTAAACTTATCCGGTCAACAAAACGAAGCGTTACATCAGGAAATGGTCTCACACGGGCGATAAATAGGGCGATATCTCATCTAAGCGGAAGCGTTTCGGGTTTCTGTGTTTACGCTAATGAGAGGTAAGGTAACTGTTAAGATGCATGCCGCTGTAACGCTAGCTTGTTTTTTAAGCTTCCCAGTTTACTAACATACATGCTAAGGTATGTTTCTGGTTCATATTAAGATAAATATATAAACTGGCTTCATTCTGTCTCCTTCAGCTGACGTCTATCGCTCATAAACGATGCTTCGCTGGATTCTTGGTGGTCGAGAAGCTCAGGGTTCAGTGGAGGTAAGATGTAACTGTAGCTAATAAAGCATTTTAATGCTAATTTAGCTTTTTGGTTAATGTGTCTTCCCCTTGTCATATTATTCCATGATTTATCCTCACTGGATATATGGTAATAATGTTTACATCACTCATCCCTGTAATCTCCACAACCTTTATGGACAGCAAAACAAGATTTGCAACCAGTGTTGGAATGTAACTAAGTACATTTACTCAAGTACTGTCAATTTTGAAGTGCCTGTGCTTAACTTGAGTAACTTTATTTTGATTTTACCTTATACTTTAGCTCCACAACATTTCTGAGGGAAATATTGTATGTTTCACGTCACTACATTTCTGTGACAGCTGTAGTTAAATCTGAGATTGAGATTTTAAAAAGCTATTAAGGCCATATCAGACACAAAACAGTGTTATAGAGTAAATGAAACCACCCAACAGCACATAGGATTTGTAAAATTTGCTCAACTGACTCTGCAGTTCACTACAAGACTAAAATGCTCAGTGAGTACTTTTGCTTTCACATTTTGATGATTATACTTATGACGATTTGGAATGCAGGACTTTCACCTGTGAAACTGCGTATTTAAATCTTGGTTCAGCTTTTTTGCCTAAGTGAAATGTCTGAATACTTCTTTACTACTGTTGCCGACTTTGTCAAACTTTAACGGCCTCTGCTCCCCTGTGTATGGTATAAATATTCACCAGACATTCTTGAGAATTGGGAAAATCCTATTTTTGGGCCACCGATTCAAATTTTTCTTGAATAACATACACAATGAATGTCATAGGTAAGATCTGACGGAGATGACGTCTTACAGAGTTGACAAAAAGTTATATATTTATTAATTCCGCAGCAGTCATGGTGAGTAGCCGTTTTATTTTTCACAGTTGCTGAGAGTTCATGTAATGCTAATCAAAATACAAATTTTTTATCCATAATTCTTATTTAGTTTTGATTTAGAGGGGCTATGGAGTTTACCTGTTATGGTTTTGACACACCTGATAGCAATATTATTTAATGAATTTGTCAAAAAAAATAGAAAGCTTACCAGTACTTGAGCAGTTTTAAATGAGTGAGTTGTTGTGATATGGCTAACCCCTTAAATTATGTTTTAGTAGAAATCTGATGGAGTTTACAAAAACTGGGACACATTTTTAAAGGGCCAACATTAAAAAAGAAAATTAAAACAAAGATGATTGAAGCCGTACATTTTTACACTGATGGTATCAATACATACTGTTAGTTTTAGATTATGAAGGCTTAACACATTGTATGATTGCTTGAAGCTTATTTCTTCGCTAATTGCTTATCTGGGGACAAGGCTATTTTCTATCACAGGGCAAGTTTAGAGGTTAAAAAATGAAAGCAGATCAAAAATTGTGGTAAATCATATTTTTTTATATGTATATGTCTATCTATCTATAGATAAATCCTTTAAAAATAAAATAAAAAAATGTTATAATTTTTTTGTTTTGTTTTAGTAGGACATGATTTGTCCCAATACCAGACAGGTTAACAATCTCCATCTTGTTTTTTACAAAACAAAATGTTCTTATTATTATGTCTATTTTTCTTCTGTATGTATATTTATTTTGTTCTTTTTTCATGATTATTGTCTGCTGAGTTAGTGGACTTTATATACAGTTAAATTGTTTAGTCCATTGGTTTAAAACCTCTAAAAAGTCACCAGACAAATTGGAAAAGTCATGAGATCATTAATAGGAGAAGAAAGAAGATCTAAGGTCAGCGACACAAATCCCTATTCTTTTTGTAGACGTCTCCAGAGTCTTTGTTTTATTAGAGGGGATTAATAAGAGGGAAAATGACTCGTAGGCATCTTAAACATTTCTTGGGGCCCCAAGTAGACCAGGGCCACAAACCAAAAAGACTGGGAACCACAACTTTAATCTTTAACAGTGCACTGTATTTAATAAGCGTATTATCTTGTTTTAAGGTTAGAGCTGAATCTGAAAAGCAATTATAGGTGTCATGTAAGTGTAGTGCAGTAAAAAATATAGTATTTCCTGTTGAAATGTAGTAGAGTAGAGGTAGAAAGTACCAGAAAATGGAAATACGTAAGTACAAGTCCCTTGAAATGCACATAAGTACTATACTTTAGTTACTCTCCACCTCTGCCTGTCCCTGCTCCCCACTCTGCAGCCTCCTCTCTCAGCCTGAGTCCACTGTCTGTCTCTGCACCCCAGCCTGTTTGTCTCACTACTTTCCCTCTTATGTCTGCAGAAAAGCCCCGTGTTGTGCATCGGAGAGGAACAGCCCAAAAACTGGTTCACTGAGCTGCAGGTGCTGAAAGGACATTTTGACATTGTTCGATTTCTGGTGCAGATTGATGACTTCAGGTAAGCAGACCACAGCTCCCCCCTCCTCTCCTATTTTTTTCTCTCTTTCTAACCTCTCTCCTCTCTACCCTTGGCTGGCCTCGATCCCTCTGTGATTGACAGGAGATCCTCACCTACAGAAAACTTACAGAGCATGACAAGAGCCCAATCATCACCACTATGTGATTGTGTGTGCACAGTACAGTTGAACCAAAGCCCTTTAATGCTGTCCATGCACACATGCACGCACACATATAAAGGTTTTGCACCTGCTCTCCTCTCTGCGCTGCTTTGTGGAAGCATGCCGCACACTGGCATGGTAGAGTGGGCCTGCATAAGTGGTCAGATTGGGATTTATAACAGAACTAAGTACGTGTGTGTGTGTGTCAGGAGGTGGGGGGTTGGCTTCACGCCTGGTCTCCTCCAGTAATAACCCCCTCCTCTGGGTCTCGTCCTCTCCGCACACAGGTCCACAGTCGGGGGCAAAGGCCAGAAAATTCTCTCCAGATTGCTTTTGAAGTCCGAAAATGTATCCTCGACAGTTCCTCTCTTCTCATTTTATCTCTCTTTTTTTTATCCGGTCATCCTGTCTGTTGATTTTGGGAACAGGTAGTGCAGATGGTTGAGGGTCAGAGGGCAAGTGAAGGTGGAAAGCCCCAGGACAGATGTTTTTTTAAGATTTCTCGGGCGGAGATAGAGCTACGGGAAATGATTCCTCACACAGATAGAGACTGGGGTGTTTGACTATGTTTAAGATGAAGCCTGCCAAGTGCACTGAAGGATTTTTGTCACGTATGAGTCTACCTTCAAGAAAGATCATGTATCTTTCATTTTATGATTTCCAGATGTGCCTCAGCAGGTGATGATGGCCTTGTTTTGGTGTGGAATGTGGAGGTAATATGCTGCAAGTTGATTATTTCACTGCATTGTGAAATTGCACGCAACACAGTGGCACTAATTGCTTTTTTTCCTCTTTTCTTCTGTTAGACCGGGGAGAGGCTGCAGGAGCTGAGGGGCCATTCTCAGCAAATAACAGCCATAACCACCTTCACTTGTAACAATGGACTCATATCACACACCTATCTCATCACAGCCTCCTCAGACCGAAGTCTCAGTGTATCCTCACACCAAAAGACATATACAACAACTGTACATTTATAGACATACTAAAATCATTCATACGTTATTGTTGTGTTTATAAATCCAACTTGATTTTCCTTAACCTGATGTGTCAGCTGTGGGACCCTGATACAGGCAACCGGGTTCAGACCATTTCAGATCTGCAGTCTTCTGTAAAGGTAATTAATAAGTCCTTTTAGAAAATGTACCTTGTTGCGTAAATGTAATGAAAATTTTGCATGTAGGTCTCATGCCTGAGAAAGTAACTTTTACGTTAAAGTCGTAATGCCAGTGTTACTGGATGGGACCTAATAACTCGCATAAAGCTCCCAGCACAACACAAGTCTGAATTAAATGTGGTCAAATTGACGTACAGGCTACAGCAGCATGAGGTAACACATGAGCAGTGAGGAAAAAATAAATGCATCTTGCTCTGCCTTAATAACGGAATTCTTCAACCCCCAAATGATTCTTTGTTTATCAATTACTCACTCTGTGTTACATTGAATTCCTGAAGAAAATGTTTTTCTCACATGACTCCTCGGTGAACGAAGAATCCAAAAAAACTGAGAAAAGTGTTGTTTCAAACCAAACACAGCCGTTGTGCACTCACCGGTAATGACAACCGCATATAGCTAGTTAGCAAACTAGCATTAGCATTCGCGTTATCATACGTGGTACCAAATCATTACAGACTGCTAAATTAACCCAATAAACATACTGCTGGCGTATACCCGACAACAGTATAGCAATGTTCACGGTCGCACAGTCCTTGGCCACTATTTCCAGTTTGAAAATTGGTCCCTCCCCTTCCACTACGTAGCCAAGATGGCGACCATTGAGCGCGAGAAGTGTCCATAGTTCCACACTCAACTTCTTGACCGTTTTGAGTGCACCATCCGGGTACTGATAGTGCACTGCATTTTTCCATACTTCTCAGTGTGAACGCACTTATGCACTCAAAATATTAAGTGTAAGTACAGAAGTATGCGATTTGAGACACAGCACAAGTCTCATTTTCTGAGTGGTATGCTCAGTAATTCCCGAACAGACAGTTCTTTCTGAAGGGGAACTGAACAGAAAGTGAAACCTATGTATCCTTGCTATAAAGCCATACTCCATTGACAGAAACAGTAATTTTACCTTGCTGAACACTGGAGCTGCTGGTCTTTTCACTGCCCTGATCAGGTAGATTGTTTATATTATTGTGTAACTTGGCTGTTTTCCCTTCCCCACTGGAGATAGCCATGGCCGGAGGCATTATGTTTTCAGATGGTCCCTACGTCCGTATGTCCCATTCTTGTGAACACAGTATCTCAACAACACTTTGAGAGAATTTTTTGAAATTTGGCACAAATGTCCACTTGGACTCAAGGATGAATTGATTAGAATTTGGTGGTCAGAGATGAAAGGTCAAGGTCACTGTGACCTCATCCACTCCAATTTTTAATTAGTAAATATTTTCTTTTTCTTATTGCTATTGTGTACACTTCTGCTTTGTACAGTTAAATGTTTCATGTTACACCTGATTTCTATATTAACCATCATGCAAGCTAATGTTTTTATCTTTAAAAATGGAAAATATCTTAAATTGTTTTAGATGAAACTTACAAGTTTTATAAAATCTGCAAAGATGCACCACACATACTAATACAGACCATATGTATATGCTACGTTTTTTCCCTTCACATTCAGTTTTCTTGGATATTCCAGCCATGCATCTCTGGGCAATTAAGTTTGTATCGGCAGGATGTGTAACATACTAATTAAAACGTTTGACTCTAAAGGTTGTTCTGCCAGTTGTGATTGAAGATACAAATGGTAATTGCCTCCTCTTGATCATACATTAAGGTTAATTGCAGCATCTGTAGGCTAATTGCATTTGGTTTCTTTTTGTCGCTGATATTTTGATTGTGTGCACATGCACTGATGTATTTGTCCAAATTAAAAATAGCACATGCATGTCTTGTGCTGATCCAGCCGTGTGTGTGTGTGTGTCCCTCTCTTGCAGTGTTTGCTGGTGCTGGAGCGGCTGTGTGTGTGGGTCTCTGGCGGGGAAGAGCTGTGTGTGTGGAACAAAGACTTTCAGCTGCAGTGTCACAGACAGAACCACAGCGACACTGGTGAGGTGAAAGAAAAGGAAAAAGAACTGTCACAATAAAGTTCCTATGTGCTGATTGTTGCACCAGCGCTGCTCACCTCTGACACTGCTGTTTGCACACAAACTGATTAATGTTGTTATTGTGTTTTTGGCATTTTGCAGGAATAACTGCTTTGATAGAGCTGCCTAAGAACTGCATAGCAGCTGCTATGGATAAAGAGATAGGTAAGAGACAAATTATGGTCAATAATTACGGAATATGTAATGCACAAATAGATGAAACCTAAATGCATTAAAAGAACACCAACAGTATTTTTCTAATCCTTGTTTGCAGTGATCTACAGGCTGACAGTCTCCACTGATTCCTCCCTGTCAGTGGCTGAGATCCGCTGTCTGTCTGACCACCAGGACAGGATTCGAGCTCTTATCAATGTCAATGGTCAGTCTGTTGGGAAACTCTCATTCTTAACTCGTCATTGAAAATCAGTGGCTGCCTTCAATTGTAGAGATATTGAGAAATTGCATGTTTCAAGTGACTTTAATTCTATGCTTTTCTCAGACGGGCTCTTCGCCAGTGGTTCCCATGCAGGCGAGTTGATCTTATGGGATGCGATCGATTGGAACATCCTGGCCTATGAGCACATCCTGTGGGAGGAGTCACAAGCCAGCACTCAGGCGGAAATACGATTGGCTGCTCCCAAACCTAGTGAGATGTCCATTCAGCATCTGACCACTAATGGAAGGGTGAGGAAGACATCATTAGTGGCTGTACCCATTGTGTAAAAATTGCTGGTATGTTGTTTTGTTATCGTTATCTGTGCGTGTGTGTTGCAGCACATCCTTGCAGCTGTGGGCAGCGGTCTGTATGTGTACAGCCTTCTGACCAAGACAGTGGTGGCCTACAGGAAGGTTGCCCATGACTCTAATGTGTTACACACCATGCTGTTGTCTGACAGGTGAGATATATGTGCTTCTGTGCTTTTGTATGTTATTGTAACGTCTTTTCCTTATATACACATACCATCAACCTGCCAGGGACTGCAGATGAAAATTAGCCTGTATGGCTATATCTGGCACATTAACATGACTTAAGTGATCATGTTAATTGATGTGCACTGTCCCTTTCTAAATAAGATAAACATAAACATATCAGTTATCTCTTACCTCTAAACTAGGTTGTTCTTTCTGCTTTCCCCTTCAGTTAACATGAGACCGCCACTGCTCTCCTTGCCAGAAACTCACATCAGTGCTTAGAAATGATGAAGTTCATATCATATCAACGTGCTTCAGCACTCTAACTGCTCCTAAATGGCTCCTATTAGAATAAGCTGGTTTGAGACACAGTTAAACAGTAGAGCAGCAGGCTTACTAAATACTGTAAAAAATCTTCAGGTTACATCTGTTTGATTTGTTTTTTTTACATATTCTAAATCAAAAGTAGAATAATTTTAGTAATTAGACTATGCAGATTTTTGATGTACCTGTCAAAAATTGAAGTGTTGACTTTTTTTGTTTATTAACCAAAATTTGGGAAACAAGGATTTTATGTATTTAATTTGAGTTGTGATATATTTAAAAATGAAAATCAACAGATGCAGCCCTGAATATCAATCATGAATAAATAACAAACAAAACAAACACTGACCAGTTGATTAATTGGTTCATGTTCAGTGTCTTGCACCATATTGTACCCATCTTTTTTTGGCTTACAAGACACAGACTGCAACAACAGCCAAGATTAGCACATGGCAAATCATAACATACAGTTGCACAAATTAGGAAGGGGTTAATTTCATGTCTATGAATATATGCAGTGCAAGTGTCCTAATAGTGAAGGATACAGTGCTCTGTGTCTTAGCTGGAGGTGAGAATTACCAGAGGTGCCATGATATGATATTAACATGATACTTTGGTCACTATACGACATTATTGCGATATGTTGAGTGTTGCGATAAAATATATTGCGCTTTATTACCTTTTTTTTTCCAACTGCAATTTATTTCCCCAAAGGAAAACTTTGTCAAAATCAGTTTCACCTCATAAAATAAAGTTTTCAGTCTGTTCATCAGACTTTAGTCATTTTATTGCAGCAAAATGTGACGCAAAGCAGACTGACTGACCAACACTGTCATAAAACCTGTCAGAAATGCTGCATACACCTGACAAACTGAACTGTTGGCAGATTTAATGCCCTCGAGGTCAGGTTAAGTACCTGAGCCAAACACTTTACATGCAGGTATCCCGTTAACTAAATAGCAACATCTGTGTTAGAAGCGTTGTCTGTTACAACCACAATCCCTCATTCTTGTGCTGCATTTTGCAGGAGGTCTGCAGTGTTTGCTCTGGTGTGACTGCTTTAGTTTGGAGAACATGAGACATCAGTCGCCAGTTCTCTGTGAGATAATGTGCCGTTATAGTCACATATGAATCCACTAACCTTGAAGTCCAGGCGTCACTCTTTAATGCCCCCCTTCCTGCTGTACTCAAAGATTCTTCAACTTTATGCTTCACTTCTCTGGAGAGCTTTGGTACGACTGTGTCAGTGAAAACACATCGGGATGGAGTCACATACCTGGGTTCTAGTGTTTTTAAGCACATAACAAAGACCTTTGTTTTCAACAATGCTGTATGGATGCAGATCTTTGTAAGTGAAGTAGTTAGGCTGTTATTTTCTTAGCTGTCTCAGAGTTGGATGGTAGTTTTGTCAAGTTAAATGTGTCCAGTGTTGGTTGATTTTTCGGTGGAGCGGGTTTAGTGTTACCTTGCCACCGTCAGTGGCTAATGCTATCTCTGGATGGTGGAGTGTGAGGCGAGCCCTCATGTACGTAGTATTCTCAGAGTATATTATTCTCATATGACACTGCTTGCAAATCACATGTGTCATATCCAAGTCCTCTTTTCCTGCCATGTTGAGAAATCAAAAATAAGTCCAGTTATTTGAGACCTCTGCTGACCTCACTAGGAAAAAAAAACATCAGCACCATTTAGTGGAGCTGAAAAGCAACTGTGATTAAAGCAGCTGTTAGACTGTTGGTGTGACTCTGTTTCTTTTTCCAGTGAGCTGATCTCCTGCTCTGAAGATGGTAGTGTGAGGATGTGGGAGATCCAAGACCTGCCTTTGCCTGCTGAACCAGCCTCTGCAGGTGACACATACACAACACATATGGTGACACATTTGCAGACATATCTTCCTATTTCCTCCTGTGGATGTGCCACCTTAAGAAAACTAGAATCTGTTCTCAGTGATAGATCACACTCACAAGTATGAATCAGAAAGTTCAAAGCCTGAGGAAAATTGCCTGCACTCAACTTTAATGTGTACAGTTGAGTGTCTTGATGTGTGGGTGGTGTGGAGGTGTAGTAATGCAGTCCAGATGTGGTGTTGTGTATATCAAAGGAGAGAGTACTGTTCCAGCACTCAGAGAGGTTGTGTTTTCTACTTAAGTGGGGTGGTCTAAAGTTGAGTGTGTGTCTGTGTGGTCGTGTGGTCTTTGATGGTCTAGCTGTTTGCAGTGGGTGCAGAGCTCTGGTGACTCTGAATACATCTTGGCTGGAGCATCCACTCAGGCCACAACACTTGCTAATCATCACCAAAGGCGAATTATTTGTCCATCATTTGTTTTATGTCTCCAGGAAACCAGACCAAAAACAGAACTAAGAGAGAACATTCATCAGGGGGACACAAACACAACACCAAATAAATGCTAATCTTGCTTCATAACTGCTACATCAAGATAAGCAAATGTTAAAAAGCAAATGTTAAAAGGTGATGATATGTTCACGGTGTGTTGATAACTTGTTTCCACTGCCCCCCAGTGGCCTGAAAAATATCAGTTATTGCAGGTTTAAAGCTTTCTAGACAAACACAACCTTTACATGAAACATTTAAAACACTTGCCTCTGAGTCCAATCGAAACTAAACACAGAAAGAAGCCATTTGAAGAACACATTGTCATTGGATTCTTTGTAAGTATAGAAATATTGATTAGAGAAGCTTTAATGTCAGTTGTTTCATCCTCAGACATTCTGATTTGATTCTGTCCTCTAATGATCTGTTACTGCTGTTTTTAACCAATCCTCCCTGGCTTTAATCTCCACCTAACATACAGAAAAACATTTTGTTCATTCAGTAAGAATGGATTGCTAGAGTATAGGTAACAAGAAACATATGCACAAGATCATTTTGTATTATGTCTTTATTAATCCAATATTCTAAATCTCAGTCTTTCCTCTCTGTCCATTAACCCAGGGTTCTTTGGAATGTGGACTTTTGGCCGGTCAAACAAACAGACTGGTCCTCCGACAAAGAAGGTCATGGACATCCCAAACATCAGGACGCTGGAGTTGACGGGTGATCTGATTGGACACTCGGGGGCAGTCCAGGTATGATTTTTTAATGATGTGCAAATTTAGGTTCTACTTCAAAATGGTGTCCCAGTAATGCTTTAACAATTCCTTTTTGTGTCAGATGTTTGTGAGCTTTAAGGAGAACGGTTTGGTGACCTGCTCGACAGACCACCTGCTGATTCTGTGGAAAAATGGAGAGAGGCAGTCCCATCTCCGCAGCCTGGCACTTTTTCAAAAGCTGGAGGAGAATGGAGGACTCTGACCTTTAACCCTTGAATTACTGCCTTTAAAAAAAGCAAAGATGTGAAGCTGTCGGGTGGTGTTGGTCTAAAATCATTTGGATTTATTGTAATGATTGTTGTGTGTGTTTAATGATGATGTAATGGTTGCTGTTTGCCTTTTGACTGAAAGTATTTAACATAAATTTAAAAAAAACTCAATAAATACCTCATCTCAAAAAAAGAAGAAGTTTGCATTACTTTTTATTTCTGGCTTAAAGTGCGTTTGTGCCGGCATTGACTATAAATTGTTTTAGCCACTGGCACAAATAGGATACGTCACCAACACTCCCCTGCTCACCCAGACGACTGTCTGGGCGATAGTGTGTGAGCAGGCAAGGTGTTTGTTTTTGTATCTTCAGGGCTCCAGGACACGATTATTTAGTTGCATTTTGCGACCATGGAGCACCAGTGTAACTTGCAAATACTATGAATATTATGCAGTGAATAATTCCTCATTTAAACAATGCCGTTGTAACTGCTAACAGCTAAGCCGGCTGAAGTCAAGTTCACATCAAAACATCAACATGAGATGAACCGGGTGCTTCAGCATGAAAGCACCAGTGGTTTTACTTCGATTTATTTCATTATAACATTATTTTACGGTACTTTATTCAACTTTATTGTAACAGCACTTTAACTATTATAAACAGTACTCTGTTTAACTTTATTGTAACAGTAGTTTATTTAGTAGTCTACAGTAAATGTAGATTTCAGTATATCAAGATGTATAACGTATCACAATATAACTTAAAAATATCACTATATTATTTCTATGCTATAATGCCCTGGTTTAATATGATGCGTTAATTAGTGAGCTGTAGTTTTTTTTTTTTGTTTGTTTTTACCTTTGGACTGAGTCAGGCTATTTTTCCCCCTGCTTCCAGTTTTACTCTGAAGCAATGCTTTCACTCTCCTGGTTGTACCCTTATACTTACCGGACAAATACAAGAGTGGCAAGAATGTCAAACTCTTCCCTTAAATTTCTTGCTGCCATTCATGTAACAACTTGATATTTAAAGAATGCTTTAATCGTCTCTCACAATACATTTGTGTGTTTGACAGAGAACATCAAAATAAGACATCATAATCCAGAGAGCAAACTAAGTCAAACATTTCAAACAAACATGGTAGATTTAAGTGACTCAGATGGAAGTTTTTTTTTTTTTTTTTTTTTTTCACGACTATGCATGAGGCAGTAAAATCTTTCAAAACACACAGTTCTCATGGCCAATATTTGTTTCTTTGAAAAATAATTTGTACTGTATACAACATTATCACTTTCTAATTATTGTTCTGTTTATAAATTATACAAAAGCAACACAGGATTGGCACGCAGCCACGGCCATCAGTGTCAGAGATGAAAGAGAGGAAATAGAAATCACTGTAAGTGATGAAGGCTTATCATTACGCAACAAGCAGTTATACAATCTGGTTCTGCCTCAGTAGACCCAAAGCGAGGCGTCAAGCGACTGGCTGTCATCTCATCTAATTGATATCATCACATTCCAGTCATTGCTGTTCACAGAAAAGGCATGTCTGACATGTAAATCTGAAATATTTAAATTGGCTTGGTGAATTGAAATCTTCGTTATAGACTAGCAAAAATATCTTCTCATGATCAGAGAGCAGTCATGAAACATTCAGAGGTGGAGCCACATTTCAAGTCACTGTAAAAAATTAAAATCTTATTTTTAGAGATTATGGAAATTACCCCTGCAACACATAACAGCCCAAATAAACAAGTTACATAAGCAAATGATGTCAAATGCAAAGCAAAAACAATACGTGATGAGTATTTACAAGAACAGCAGGTACATTAGGTAGTTATACAGTGTACTGCAACAATAGCAGACCTAAACACTGAGACATGACAAGATTAAGGCGTTGATTAAGACCTTGGTCATCAAGAAAATAACGTCATATCATTATGAAATGTTGAATGTGGATGTGACCACTTCTGTCTTTTCAAAATGAACTGATACAGTAACAGACAAACCAATAGTGGAATTCACATCTGATCCAACTTCCCCTGATTCAGTTTCTGTCTTCAAAAAACCTCACAGTCGTACAAAACAGAAAGGATAAAATGTCAGGCCCATCATGACCAGGTTGACTCAAAACTGCAGCACAGATCATAAAGCAACATACCTAAAGCAATTTTTTCAAATATCTAAAACATGTATGGCTTTTCTTAAGAGAGAAGGAGGAACTATTTAAACAACAAAAAAAACCTGCTCTGTGGAGATGACCAAAGAATAAGGCACCAGTAAAAAGCTCTCTGTGCCTTTGGTTAATACTGTAATGTGCGTTTGTGGAGTAAAACTCTTGAAACTAGAGCTGGTAATGCATAATAATGACATTACACAATTTTACAGAAGCAGCTCAGATCATGTATGGATATCTGCAGATTTAATCACCATTTTGATTTCTAATCCAATTTTCTTATAACATCAAAGAGTTCTAATACTGCTCAAAGGGACTGATCAGTTTTTTTTGAAATGGGGTTGTATGGGGTTCTTATCCATCATCGGTGTGTTAAGTAGATGGCTGTCGGCACACCCTGAGTTTGGAGAAGTAGGCTGGAGTCTGACACAGAAGCTATGCGATCTACTGCTGTGGAGGGGTCAGCAACAACACTTATTATAGCCACCTAAAAAAATCAATACCAGTTTAGGTGTATTTAGAGTATTTTACCATTTTACCTTAATGTCAGACAGCCCGTTCTGACGAGAGAGTGGTTAACAGCTTCAGTTCCTCGTGTGCTGTCGTCAAAGCCACCAGACTCCATTGAGAAAAATGTTTGTGTTATTGTGTGACTTTAGTAAATCCAAACTAACCCTTTTAAATGCCAAAGCCACACAATAACACAAACAAACTAACAGTTTGAGGTGGTGGTAGACCAGCAGCTCCTGTCTTCATTGATATTAAATCAGTTTTTCTCAGTGGAGTTTGGTTTTGAAGACAGCCATATGACGGTTTAATTTTCCTGTTGGAATTCACTGTCTGCAATGAGGTGAAGCTGGCGATTGTTTAGCTTCCATGTCAGACTCCAGCCTGCTTCTCCACACTAGGGGCGTACCGACCAACCTCTACTGTATGTAATGTCCTGTCTATGGATAACAACCCCATACCACCTGACTTAAAAATCTGAACTATACTTTTAACCTTAACAGGTTAAAATTTAGCTACATGGATGTTTTACTAAAACATAATACCGGTTGAATTCTCAAATATCAAAGTAAACTGCATTTTCTATTCGCAGTCACAGTGGGGTAATAACTAGTTTCTTTGGAACTGATCTGACGAATACCATTACACTGATTTAATGTTACTGCAACACCCCCATATCGCCACCGGAGGGCAGAAACACCTTGCAAATTTCATGATCAGATGGCCTTTGTGTTATTTCTCTGAATGCAAATAATCTGAAAATCATGTGCATCCTAGATTTCTCCCCAAAACAGAGCCAGATGACTGCAAGGTGAATTGCAGTTGCAGGATTTTTGAGATACAGTGAAAAAAAAAAAAGAATCGCTTTAACCAAAACCACGTGAGAGCCGGAGCTGATTAGTGCTGGAGGCAGACAGACGCTGTGCTCGGCAGCTGCTGTTTTTACAAGCTGGATCCAAACATGGATCTGCTGCTCCTTCATACATCTGTCAGGTCGCTGTGAGGTCCAACACAGCTACTCCCTACTCTAACAGCATTGCATGGCCTCTACTGTACAACAGTCAGTGTTGCTTCACATAGAAAGCTTATTCTTATAGTGTTCAGAAACTCATGAGTCAGTTTTGTTTGCTCTTATTTGGGTGCAAATGTCTACAGTTAGTGTCACAAAGCTATGTGTGTATTGTAACATCTGATATTTTTGTATTACTCGATGAAAGCATCATTGCTAACAGCTCTGATACAGTGCAATTCTGTTCCTCCATTTGTTGACAAAGATCTTCACCAACTGCTTTCACAGTGCACAAAGGAAAATGATACCTACATGATCCTTAAATCCAGCAGTCATCCCAAGCTCTTCTTTGATGTCAGCTCTGCCTATGGGGCTGGTTCTCCCCCCTCTGACTGGACCCTGGTACTTGGCCTACTGTCTCTGGAACTCCCCTTTCTTAAATCTTTCCAACAAGTTCTCTCTGTGCGGGTCCAAAAGGATGGGGATTGCTAAGTATTTGGTCCCAGACACAAGTCAAAGTGTCTCTCATACTGCAGACCATATCACAACTTATAAGAATGAATGATTCCAGCTGAGCACCTTCTCAAGTTGGCAATTTGAAAAGAAACAAGCATGAACTTCAGTGCTTCCAGCTTTGGTCACCATCTTAATCACCATGTTTGTTTTACAGCAATAGACAGATGTAGAATGAAAAGATTTGTTTAAAGAAAATTAGAGAAAAAACTGTGAATAGCCAAAACAGCAAGAAGATGCTCCAAATGAAAATGTCTCCATTAGCTAAAGTGCAGGTTTGTGGTGTGTTACACTGTATGGTACAGATTGTCAGGTGAGCCGTGAGGTCCACACAGTTTCATAGAGGTGCTATTAGGAATACTTAAAAGGGCCATAAATGTGGACGGGGCCCTCAAATGACAACCTGTTCTCCACTGGCAGAACACCACCTCCACCTACAACCACACAAGAAAAGAGGCTGTGATTTGAGATTGAAACAGCGTCTCAGTGTTCATCAGTCAGTGATGTCTGCTCTCAGGGACCCCGATTGGCCACCTTCTGGCCGCGAACGTGTCCGGGGGCGCCTGGGAGGGCACAGAGCTCTGTCGAATCACAGCTGAAGAGACCAACTGTTCCACCGCAGGGCTGCGTTCGCTGTCCTACCCTGCTCAGGGTGATAGATGAGAGGAGGTGACGAAGAGTTGGTCAAGAGGGAGGGGGAGGACGCAGGCTCTTACACTTCATCTCGTCCAAACCCTTCCAGTACTTGTAATTCTCCGACAGGTGTTCCATGAGACCAGGCAAGGTGGCGAAGGCTGAGAGAAGATATGCAGAAACAAACCACTGTAATATATTATGCGCTGATATTTTAATGACTTTTTTTATGACGTTATATACTGTAACTTTTTAGGATTTTTTTTCTTTATTATACACTATGCTATGAATTTTTATTACTTATTACAGTCTGTATGATTTTTTTTACATACCATACAATGAAATTTATGACTTATGTTTATATACTACAGTATGACGATTTAATTTCATATAATACTACGACTTTTACAACAGTTTTTGTGACATACTATACTGTGACTTTTTATGATTTTTTTTTGACATAATATAATCCAGGAATAAACACAAACAACTAGGTGAAATGTCAACTGATAAGACACACCTGCTATCAGACACTTCCTGTTATCATTCCACATGAGCTGCTGGGCACAAAGATGTGTGTGTGTGTGTGTGTGTGTGTGTGTGTGTGTGTGTGTGGTTAGTTGATTTATAGTGGCTAATGTTAGGCTATGTATGCTCTGCAGTGTTGCTCCCACATTAAAGGACTCTTTGGGTGAAAAGGTCTCTGCCTTTCTGTCCATGTGTTTACATCCTCATTTCCGGCTTGTTGATGACCAGGCCTGCATCTTTGAAACTAACAGTGACCCCATGGTGACCCGACAGTGACCCTGATGAATTGAAAGCTGCTGCTGCATGTGTGTTTTTGTGTTTATGTGCAAGTGAAATACTGCTCAACTGCTTGACCATCCCTTAAGCGAGTGATCGTGACCCCCCATCCCCTCTAGTATTTTCCCAACTTCCTCTCCCCTGGCGCTCTAGCAATTTCTCTCTGTCCCACTGGCATTTGGAATCTTTCCGTGACATCAGAGCTGCGTTGACAGTAAACAAGTTCCCTCTTGGGGAGAAAAACTAAAAGGAAAATTCAGTGGGAATGGGGAGCTATAAGCACCATACTATCCTCCTCCTTCTCATCCCTTTCACGCGAATTCCAACCCCGCAATCTGACAAGAAAAATGCAATCGACTGAGGCAATTAAGAAGGCAGAAATGAAGATCTGAATGTATGAGATTCTGGTTTATTCCAACAGTCTGACGTTTTGTTTCATTCATTCCATTTGAATAACTGAACAAATCAAAATGTGGGCAATGTTTCTGAGGTTTTGGAACCAGGCAAGTTCTGTTTCTACTTAAGCTGCAACTGACATAGAAAGCCAATTAAAGAAAACAGAAAGACTGAGAGAAAAAAAAAACCCAACCCCTCAAGGTCTATTTACCAGCTTTTACTGGTGGAAAAAAATAGTGGAACTTAGGTATTATTTTTTTCTGGTCAAATCAATTTCAAGCTCAAGATTGTTTCATGTTAAATCTCTTAACTTCAGCTTGAAGGAGCTGAGTAAATTGGCTAACCAGAGAACAAAACTATTTGGAAAAAAGAGGAAGCATGAGAGCCGAAGACAAGGACAGAAAAAAGTGCAAACAACTGAGAAGTGAGAAAGATATTTAGTGTATTTCTTTGGCAAAATGGAAGTAATCATTATATCGACATGTATGTTGCCATTCAATAATTTCCAGTGAGAAACGTACTGTCTTTACTTTGTTTTACAGAGAACTGATAGAGAGCTTTGTCATATGCCGCAACGGCACAGGATATTTGCTGTACAGACTATGAGGCCCCTTGAGACAAATTTTGTGATTTGTTCTATAGAGATACTATATAAATAAAAATGATATGACTTGACTTTATTAAGCTTTGTTGTCTTTGTTCTGCTGTATGTCTATTAGCGTTTAACTTTATTGAGAGAAACATTTGAGAGTCAAATTCCTGGTATGCATCCACATCTTCGGCCAGTAAGGCTCATTCTGATAGACTAGAAATTAGAATAGAATAGAAATTTCAGCCATAGCTGTACATAATGCTTCAGATATATAGATGTTTCTGTTAAGCAGCTGCAATTTCTAAAATGTGATTGCGTCACACACATCTTCAACCAGACCGCACAGAAGATCCATACAATCAGCACAGTTTCAAGGTGGATACCCAAGATTAGTGTCACCAATTCAGCAAATGTCTCCCCTTCTGTTCCTGAGTTATGATGTTGAGTTACGGTCAGAAAAGTGGTTTTGCACAACATTATGATGCCACAGTCAAGTTGATTTTTGACCTTCTGGATATAAAACATCATCGCTTGATCATTTTAATTCTATTAGACGCTTGTGAATTTTTGCCATAAGTGTATGAATTCTTAAGTTAGAGCCAAAAATGTGTTTTGGGAGGTTACAGTAACATTTAACCTCTAAATTCCAATTAGTTCATCCCTGAGTCAAAGTAGACATTTGTGTCAAATTTGAGGAAAATCCCGAAAGGAATGAGAATGGGGAAGGATGGATGGACAACCCGAAAACATAATGTATAACATGAAAGTGGTATAGTATGCCATAAAAAATGTCAGAAAAATTGCATTAAAAATGTCATATAATCCCGCTTTGTGCCTAGGATTAAATTTATACAAATTTAAGCATACAACCTCTTTGCACCAATATACTTCAAAACAAGTTTCAAAATGTAATACATCCGAAAATGGTGTTTAAAGCTTTTTAATAATTTTAAAGGGCCTAAAATGGGAACAACAGTAATTTCAACCTGGACCCTGAAATGAAATGAAAAAATGTCATCACTTTCAGCTTGTTCGGGTCTGTTTTGTGCCCAAGTCTTGCTGTAGGTGAAGTCTTGTTCTGAAATCTCACAGACATTCCTACATTGTTGAAAGCAGCTGAAAAATTCAGCCATGACATTGAAAATCTTGCCAACTCTCACTCACGTTTGTTTTCCTCACCTCTTGTCAGATATCTGAGCAAAATTTCTCCTTTAGCAGGACTTGGACAAGTAAAAGGAATACGAGAACATTTAATTTCACTGTAGGATACTTTCCATAATGTTGTAAGACACTCATAAAAACAATTTGAGTCTGTCAGTGGCAAAAGCAAGCACTTTATAAACATAAATTGACCTGGCGCACAGGGCTGTACGCAGGATTTTTGAAATACCGAGGTCATTTAGTCGTGGTGCACGTGGGGGGGTCAGAAATTTTTGTCAATTATATATCAAAAGCCTTCAATCTGGTGTACTTTGACAGCCAGAATTAAGAGGCTACATCTATAAAGAACTACACACATCATATTAGATTAATCCCATCTTATCATGTTTCTCTTCCCACTTCATACTATAGCGAAATTGCCTTTCACCAAACTTTGTTTGTGGGTATTTATAATTATGTTTGAACCACTTATTCTTTAGCAGGAAGCACTTCTCTTCATCTGTCAGTTGTCAGTTATATTAATTTTTATATCAATGAAAAAACAATCTGTGTTACTAAATTCTTACATTTTTACATGTATCTCACCATAGCAAGTTGGAAGTTGACATATTCTACCATATATGAAGAGGGGAGACTCTCTGGAATCTGGCAACATAAGAACCATGATGGTGGGACATTCTGTCACTTCACAGCTGTCCAAAACATGTGGTTTGTGCCAGGCGGACATGATTGACAGTATTTTTTCATTATTGCAAGAAATTCCATTGACTCATTCACAAGTCAAAAATGTGTTTTATTTGAAATAAACATGCAATATTTACATCTAAGATAATAGAAAAATAGTCAACCAAGTGCAATGATCTCCTCCAAGATAATATTTGCCACTTTGCAGTGAAAAAAAAATTCTGGACGTTTCCTTGTCGACATGATCTTGACTTACTTCTCTGTGCTCCATGCTGCTCTTTGACCTGACCTGAATGTTTTTTGTTGTTGTTTTTCAGTTTCAGTTATATATTGGGGGGACATTTTGGGCATTGGGGGGGGGAGATGTGTCCCCCTCAATGTGTATGGTGACTACGGCCCTGTCACGCATGCATAATTAGGCTACAGTTGACTGGGTACACAAAGGTGAAGTGCGCTGGTCTTGTCATACAAAGTTTGATGGAGTGTCAACTGGACAATATGGAGATATTTGCATCTTGAAAACTGGACTACAAATGTGGATAGACAGGGAGAAACACACGCAAGCCTAAGACGTGGTAAGATACGATATTGAAGTGCCTGATAACAAGATCTGTATAATGGATTGTAAAAAAATTCGTCAGGTTTTTATTTTGTAGAAAATTGATCTGTATTTATAGCGTGATGGGATGACAGCACAATGATGTGTGTGGTATCCTCGGAAAGCTCTGGTCCTGCACTTTCATATGATATGTGTGGCATTTCTGTGCGAGCCTGCGTTCGTGAGTAATCCATCTAAGAATAATGTGTGTGCAAAGCTGTATGAAAGCTGTGTCGATCAAACAAGAGTACCAGAATTTTCTTTTTTAAATAATTGTTATTATAGAGAAGAGAGAGTCACTCAATCACCTTCCATCGGTCCTCCCACGTACTTTCACCGCACAAATAAAATGGTTTATTTTTATTTTCATTTTATTCATTCATTTAGGTTGGGAAAAAATACCGAGGTCATGACCTCGGTGTCCTCAATGGTAGTTACGGCCTTGCTTTTGCACCTGCTCTGAGCTGTTACAGTACAGCCTGTTTCACTGCTGCCAGCTGAGGTGGTTTCACTCAATACTGGATCAGTTTCAAAAGTTGGTTTTCCTATGATTCACTTACTAGACACAAAAATGTGGGAGGATGTGGTCTAGGTTAGAAAATACTGAGTTCCTCTTTAATTGCCTCTAAATTGATTTATCCAATCTGAATACTTTTGGGAGTCCTTGGATGCCTTGATACAGTAAAACTCCCCACACGCACACAGAGAAGACAAAAAAAAGTTCTTACCATCCCAGGCGTCAAACATATCAGTGATGAAGTAGTCTATGAAGGAGATCTGAGATTTGGGCACACTGCAGGTGTTCCTGTCAAACACCGGCATCACCACCGGCAGGCCTTGTCTCTTCTCCTCATCTGTCTGCAGAGCAAACACACGCACACACACACACACACACACACACACAGAGATCATAAATTAAATTATGCAACATGAGACGATGAAAATGATCAATAGAAACAAATGCCTCCTGATACAGATACAAAACTGTTCTCTATTAAAGTGAGCTCCATTAGAGTCATCCCCACACCTGCGCAAAGTACTCCTCAGAGATCCGTCCAGCCCACTCGATGCAGAGCTCAAGCGGTCTGCAGGGGTTTGCCACATCTGCACACTTGATCAGCATCCTCTTTATCAGCAGACGGTTCTCTGGAGAGTTCCTGAAATTGGCTTGACCCTCACAGTCGCTGTTCATGCTCTGTAGGAGATACATGAGGAAGACATAAGCATCTGCACATATACAGACCAATAATACACATTTGCTTAAACACACATTTGAGACACATCATCAGATAACATTGTTTTACGTCTGTAAAATATCTTATAATTTCCTTGAAAGTTTTCTGAACAAAATGATGTAATTTGTCACTAACTGTATGTAAAATAGTGTGTTTAATTTATTCATTTCCAATTTAAGTCCAGTTAGTTGCTATGCTGGTGTAACCCAGGCCAGGTGAACATGTGAAATATGAATTCTCCATGACCCTGCTGTCATGGTATAAAAATCTTTGGGAGCAGACACTGTGAGCAGTAATAAACCCAGGTCAGGCACATTATATTGTCCCACTCCCTGTCCTTCTGCTTACTACATATGAAAATATGTATTTTTTACTTTGGGGTGAACTGTCCCTTTAAAATGTAACAAACTAAGCACACTTACACTTGTGCTGGTCTCCTCTATGGCAGCCATTGGCTTGTTGATGCTGTTGACAAACTTGCTCACATGTTCGAAGTGTCTGGTCATTTCTGTGGCCAGCACCATGTCGATGATTGCCTGTCGCAGTGTTCGGAACTGATTCCTGTCAGCAGTGGAGGGGGTAAAGTTAACATCTGGATCTGTCTTATATTAAATACACCAAAGGATTAAAATGTCACACACTCTTCTATTACTCAGTGAACACAAAACATGCTTAGGTTGTATACACAACACCGCCACAGCCGACCTGTCGGTGTTCTTGAAGATGTTGCTCTTGCTGTCTCGGACGGTGAGCTGGAAGGCGAGGGCCGCATGGTGGCTCTCCAGCACGGCTGTGTCATTGTAGAGGATTGCCAGCTCGCTGCCGGCGTTACACAAGAAGGAGTTGGTCCTGCCCGGGTGGTCCACGTCGTGTACTGTGGCCGCTATCAGAGCTGCCACCTCATCCAGCTGGTCCAGATTGCTCTAAAGAAAACAGAGCGACAGAGGGATGTCAGTACTGGACTGTGCTACACTTACCAGTTACTGGCCAGAGCTTAGATTTAATAAATACATTGTTCACAGATCAATCTGTATGATGGAACAGTTATAGAAGCCTGTCATGCTCTTTGATGCTTTATGGTTTTTGTGCCCTGTTCTGGATGAAAGTGTCAGTAAAGTAGGTTCAACACAGCCAGCACATAATCCCTGCAGTGAGTATTACATCTTTGACATTTTGCAGCACCACTTATCCATGTTGGCTGACATTCAGACATGCTGTATTTGTGTTTAAACGCTGTCATTATTTGGGACATATAATGGCCTTTAATGAAGAAGACGCCTCTTTTGTTCAGTGTTTTGGCCATATATTTTTGCTTGTAGTATAAAATACACCTTGGTATGACTCTCTGTTCAGTTACAATGGCTAATTAAACGTGAAAATCAATTTACGTGTGTATACAAACACATTCTGCATGTGTTGCCAGCAACCAAAAGTGGAATTTGCGTAAGTCAAAGTTATTTTCTCCAAAAACAAGTGTCTTGTCAGCATTATTCTTGTGTTATATAAGTTGAAACAGACACGGGTGAGGGAATATTAAATGGTTTTACATGTGTTTTATTAATTAAAAGTAGAGCTATGATTGGGCCCAAAAAATCAGAATGAATCCACATAGTATCTGTCTAAGCCCTACTTGAGCCCAAACCACGGCAAAAATTTTTGGCCAGAGTCCGATTTAAAACCCATATTTCCACTGGAACTTTGTTTTGTTTTCTAAAACATGGATGCTTCACACACATCGTCCCCCTTGCAGCACAGAAGAGCTATACAGTCATTACAGTTTCAAAATGGACACCCAAGATTAGTGACACCAATTCAGTATCTGACCAAACGTCTCCCCTTCTGTTCCTGAGTGTTGAAGTGTTGATGTTGAATAATGGCCAGAAAAGTGATTTTGCAGAAGATTATGATATCACAGTGGAGTTGACCTATGACCTTTTGGATATGAAATGTCATCACTTCATCATTTTATCAAATTGGACTTTTATGTGAAATTTTGTCATGATTAGCAAATGCATTCTGGAGTTATGGCCAAACATGTTTTGTGAGGTCACAGTTACCTTGACCACCAAATTCTATTCAGTTCATAGTTGAGTCCATTTGAAGAAATTTCCTCAAGGTACTCTTCAGATATCTTGTTCATGAGAATGGGACAAACATATGTACATATGTACAGACAGACGTATGAAAAGACAACCTAAAAACACAATGAACAATGAATTTAAGAGAGCCTGGCCCAATTTGAGCTCAAGAGAATTGAAGAAATTACAGCCTGACCTGGCCCAGACCCAGCTGCTTGGGTCAGGTTCATCAGTTTCAAGCAGAGAATCAAATCCCCTGTTGAAAGCTATGTAGGGCAAGTCAGTTTGATTTTTTATACAGGCCAAAATAACTAATCACAAACTTGCCTCTAAGGGCCTTGAAATTAGTAGAGCATATGACACTCTCTGTCCTTACACCCTTGATTTGGATAAGGCAAAACCTTTGCAAAGAAAGCCCTTCAGCTGGGGACAAGACGGGAAAAACCACACGAGGAGCAATGGAGCAGAGATCCTCTCTTACATATAACTGAGAAAAGAATTCAAATTTTTTAAAAACACTATCTCTGGAGTCACGAGTCTCCAAGTCCTCAGCATTATAGATCTCTTTTCTTTGTTATCAATAATGGAAACTATGAGATGCATCAAATCTTCAACATCATTCGTAAAATGAATTCTAAGAGGCTATGTCTTGTAAGATATTACACTCGTAGCATAGCAATATCCCAGCTGCCTAAAAATACTCCCCACACCTAAAAATACTTGTGTCAGCCAATATAAAGGTGTTTTTCTTCTAACCTTGACTCTTTCTTTGCGGAGGAAGTAGGCAGTGGCGTGCAGCACATCTGCGGCGTGCGTGGAGTTGTGGTAGGAGTTGGAGGAGTGGTAGCTGGCCTCCATGAGCTGCAGCCAGGAGCGCAGCGTGGCCTCCGAGCAGTTCAGGAACTCGCACACACCAAAACTTGTGAAGGTCTTCAGTCCGAGGTAAGTCAGCGGCCTGCAGAGGATCACACAAAAAAACTTTAACCAATATTTCTCTCTTTCTTTTTTTGCTTCATCATGGTGTCTTTGTTATCCCTTCTTCTGACATCCTCATATTTTTTGCACATGTAGTATTATTTCATTATTAGCTGAATTTCTTTGACTCACGTGGGTCATTAATTGACATTTGCTTTGCTGTAACTTAGAAATATGAGAAAATGTGTCTTTCTGTGGGTGGAAGAATATAAATACAGCTATCATGTCTGTATGTTAAATATGAAGCTACAGCAAGGAGATGGTTAGATTAGCTTAGTTTAAAGACTATAAGCTGGGGAACACAGCTTTCCCAGCTCTGCCCAAAGGTATCTCAAATAAGTGCAAAAATGACACGTTGAAGTGTGGTTGATGCCAGAATTGATGGTTCAGAGGGACAGAGGAGGGATACATTATACTGGATCCTTCTGTAACTGGCTAAAGTGTTCAATCATAGCGAATGAGGCACGAAATCCCTGGGAAAACTAGAATTACAGTTTACAGTTTATATCCATGTCTGTTTAGACTCAATGTAGCCATGACAGTATACAATGCTTCACATATGAATGTTGCTGCAAAGAAGCTGCAAATTCTAAAACATGGATGCTTCTCACACATCTTCAACCCAGCAGCACAGAAGATCTATACAATCAGCACAATTTAAGGTGGACACCTAAGATTCAGTATCAGACCAAATGTTTCCCCTTCTGTTCCTGATTTGTGATGCTGAATAATATGACCATAACCCTGGACCGCCACATTCTAATTAATTCATCCTTTAGTCCAAGATGACATTTATGCCAAATTGAAGATAGTTCCCTCAGGACTTGTTAATATATCGCACTCCCAAAAATGAGATGAATGTGAGGTCACAATGACCTTTGACCACTAAAATTCTAATCTGTTCATGCCTCAGTCCAAGTGGACGACTGTGCCAAATTTGAAGAGATTCCCTCAAGGTGTTCATGAGACATTACATACATGCGAATGGGAAGGATGTGAGGCCACGGTGACCTTTGACCACTAAAATCGAATCAGTTCATCCTCGAGTCCAAATTGGCGTTTGTGTCAACTTTGAAGAAATTCCTTTAAGGCATTTTTGAGATATTGCATTAATGAGAATGGGATGTAAGCAAGGTCAGAGTGGCTTTAGCCTTTTACCAACAAAATATAATCAGTTCATCTTGGACAACTGTACCAAATTTGAAGAAATTCCCTTAAGATGTTCTTGACATGTCTCTTAAATGTATGTTTGTCCGTCCATCCGTCCATCTGTCTGCATACGTACAGATGGACAGACAGAGGACATGTTAATATATTACCTCTGGCCATGGTTATCGCCAGCGTGGAGGCATAAAAATGACAAGGATCACGGCTCCACATTCAGGGGTTTAAACACCAACCTTGTGGTTTTAAGGTGGGTTCATGTGAAATGCTCTTTTATGAACGTGTTTTTAATGTTGTCTGGAAACCTATTGTTTCCAGTCTTTATGCTAAGCTAAACTAAGTGGCTGCTGTAGCTTCATATTTACCATCCAAATATAATAGTAGCACTGATCTTCACATTTCTCAAGGAGAGAAAGAAGTAAAAGTGACAAAGTGACTGTGATCATCAACATATTTGGTTTCCTTCATTATTCACAAGAAACAGAAGAGATTTAACCAGATTTTTGAAGACAGGAAGACATCAATTGCCAATTTTGAGAATGTAAAATATGTGTAATAATTGAGTAATAACTCAATGAAATGATCACCAAGCAACAGGCAATATATTGCCTTTTCAGAATCAAAAACAATGAGAGACCTTCTCCTAATTTTCAGGTTTCACCATCTTTGTACCTTTTGTGTGTAGCTGCCTCTAGCTCCAGGATGTTGAACTCCCAGCACTCCTCATCATTCAGCATCTCGGCGATGGATGGAGGAACGTCATTCAGAGTGACTGGGATGGCCAGCTGGCTCTGGCTCATATCTAGCAGATAGACAGAAGTGAATGCGCACACACACACACACACACACACACACACACACACACACGCAGTTCAAGGTGATATGACCATAAAAGGGGTAAACCGAGAGGGAGCTCTGTGTGTGATTTGATGGATAAATAATAAATGTCTGTACCAGCCATGGCTCTCTAACATCTATTTACACGTGCAAACATTGTGGCTAAGTGTCTTACTTTGTAAATCTGGCTCCTAAGACTATGGCAGAGAGATGGTGTGTGATAAGATTGTTTAAAGAATTTTATGTGAGCAAAAGTAGCTGCAGCTCTCAGATAACAACTCTGTTTCCAACTTAAGGAAAAAGAAGTACATTTCTTGGAAAGTAGACTCATGATTTAGATCTTCTCTCAGTTCAGTGCTCTTACGACTTAAATCATTATAATTGGGTTACATAATAAACTCATATGGAAGAATTCACACACTACAAAGCCACATTCATCATGACAATAAGCGCTAAATGAATAATATTTATTCATAAGATTCACTCAAGGCAGCAGACCTCATGTTCCATAAGCTCTGATAATGTTGTATTATGAAAGCATATTAGTTGTACAGTGAGTGAAAGCATTGTGGGTGAGCAGGGCCTATAAGAGGTAATTATATTGTATCACTACTATTATCATATTGTATTATATTAACACATGATCGCTGATGTAATGTGATAATTCTTTAAAAACTTACTTTTGCAGAAGACGTATTCATTCCCAGAGAGTCTGCGCAGCCCATCCTGAAGAGAAAAACAAAAACAAGAAGTGGTTGAATTAATTATAAAAAAACCCACTCTGAATGGCCTTTGGTTCATCTAAAGCTAATAACCTATCTGTCATCAAGCGCTTTAGATCCATAGTGCCATAGCTAGATTTTTTTTTTTCTATCAATCTTTGACCACCAAATTCTTGTTGTTCTTGTATTGTTGAGTCAAACTTGATGTTTGTGTAAAATTTGAAAAAAATTCCCTCAAGGGGTTCTTGAGACATTGCATTCACGAGAATGAGATGAACGCAAGGTCACAGTGACCTTGACCTTTGACCACCAAAATCTAATCAGTTCATGTGGACATTCATCCAAAATTTGAAGAAATTCCTTCAAGGAGTTCTTTAGAACGTGTTTGCGAGAATTGAATGTGCATAGGCCTATGTATGTATGGATGAGCAACCTGAAAACATAATGTCGGCGGCCATGACTACTGTCGGCATGAAGCCATAAAAACAGCTCACAGAGTAAGCAGAGTGGCTGGTAGGTTAAGCAAATCTCACAGAATTTCACATATTTTACCATCATTTGGCTGGTGGCTGGTGATAGTATCTAACCCTGCCCTTCGGCATTGATTGGCTGTTGCTGCCACAGTCTGATTCTAGCGAATGCCATTAGAGACAGTAGGAGGGGCATGATTTAATTTGTTTCCCATTTTCATATGGTTTCTCACAGGACTGACCAGGGTCCAGATGTGGGCTAAGAGGCAATTGGGATTGTTGACAGCAGCCTTCCAACAGTAGGAGTGTTTTCCAAAGCCACTGCTAAGGATATACCTAATGCTACAGAGCAGTCAGGTATTTATAAAATACCTGTATTTGTGATATTTTTATATATTTCTTTTAGAAAAAGTTCAGTAATTTCCTGAAAAAGTTGGTCACTGTAGTTTTTATCAAGCCTTACTCAAACAGGAGTAAATAGTGCATTTGTTGGGAACTATTTTCAGCGGTGGATTAATCCACACTTGGTGCTCTAGTGAGTATTTGTGGCAGCAGGAAGGAGTTTGTGGGTTTGTGTTGGAAAAAAAATAGAGTGTTGTTGTGCTCATGGTAATGAAGGAACATGTCAGCCAATGCAACAGTGTGCCTTAATGTGTTCTTAATAGTTTTTGGCCAACAGTGGAGCTCTATGGCAAAGAGGACGAAGACATACAATACTTGTTAGAAGAATCAGTTCATTGTTGGTTTTGTTATTTTCATGGGACTTGTGGACAAAAATAAAATATTAAAGAATATGCCTTGAAAATGCATGATCTGGGATACAAAAGGCCTCCTTTTTGGAAGTTTCTGCAGTCAGCTGATGGATCTGAAAACTTGCAGTAAACTCTTTTGTGGAGACATGAACATCTAAATGCAGTGACTCACCTCATAGTTGGTGTTACTCAACAAATTTAAAAACAAATAAATAAACAAAGACTCTGCTGGCACTCCAAAAATACAGATTTGCTTTTGGAAGCCAAAAACTTCTTGGTTCAACAAGAATGCATGTTCAATTTCATATGCATGAGGTAAGAACATTTTTACAGCGTGATTAGATATAGACTACTTCAAACTTTTCTCCTTATAAAGAGCTTCAGGCATTTAATTATGAATGAGATCAAAAGCTTTATCTATACTGCTTCTTACACTCATTAGTCCCCCAACCAGGTCATTGGTGTGAGGGTCATCTTCTTTAGAGGCAAGCTGAGGAGAGTAGAGCTCGGTGGTTCTCAGGATCTCCAACACCCGATCCAAAGCCTCAGCCACTGTCACCGGACTGCTTTCCTGGGCTGCGTTGATGATGTTTATTACCTGGGGAGGAGGAAAAAGAAAAGTCTCCATTTCTGCTGCAAAACAGACACCACATACAAACACTTGACAGAGAGCCCTCTGCAAGATATGCCTTCAAACAGAGCACCCCTTTCTTTGTGCATGTGTCATGGAAATTTGCATGTGATGCTGGAGAAATCTTATCTGGGGCTAAAAGGCTTAAAAAAAGCTGCTCCTCAAACACACAAGAGCATCACAGGACCGGCAGTAGGACAGTGAGCAGGACAATGTGTGCACTGTATATTGTATATTATCAAAGTGTGATCCAGCCTCCAGCTTGACCTGGGTTTATTACTGCTCACAGCATCTGCTCCTTAGAACTTCTAGATCATGATCAGTGCAGAAGGAAGTGTGCATCTACTGCTTGCTCACCTAGCACTAACATTACAGCTCAGCTGAGGAGGACGGCATTAATGTTTACATCTCGCACTGTCGCGAGCATGAGCCCCTCATCCATGAGTAGCTGCACACTTCCTTCTGTGCAGTGATAAGGTTGGTGGATCTAGTTCGGAAGAAAGCAAATAGTTCCTACATGAAACTGCTCACAACAAGCTTATCTTGACTAACTAGGTCATGATTTCTGGAAAGAGACATTGCTGTTGTGTTTTTCAAATGTAGTACCATCTAGTTCCATTATACTTAAGAGAAGGCAGACATCCCTATGGCTGATATCTCCAAGACTGATCTCATGTTCCAGTTAAGGTGCTACCATGAACCTGTGTGCACTGGCTGATGTGAAACAAGCTGGTTATGAGCCATAAGAAACTTGTTGGTGGGACTCCAACATGTACAAGCTGACGACTGCTGCTGGAGAAATGATTCCTGCACTAGAAGAAACATTTGTGTTTCAAAGCGCTTAAGGCAAGACTTGCATAACGGATTCAGTATGAAATTGTTCATTGGAAGATAGCCACTGCAGATGACAGTTTTTCCTTTAACCCTTTCATGGTCAACTATTAATATTTTAGACTTCAAAATCTATTCTATGCAGTGTGGTTTCAGAGAGAGAAAAGGTGAGCTAGTTTTACGACGACTCGATTTATTTCACTTTAATAGAAAAAAGAAATATGTAGATTGTTGAAAATGCACTGTTACCATACATCTATATCATTATACTATCTATACTGTTTAGTAAAGGCTCATAGTAAGTCTGTGTGGTTATTTAAAAAAATATTGTTAGTGCCCAAAAAGGAATAGTAATTTGTCCAATACTCTTCTCTGGGTGCTCAAAGCAGCATACCTTTGTGATGGGAGCCTCAATAGTCATGGAGTGAATCTTGGCAACAGAGGAATATCTTCGATTCTGTAAACTGGGAGCTGCAATTAAAACAAAAAGAAGAAGATTTTATGTATTGTGATGGTGTGGCTTACTGATCGTCAGCCTGTATAATCTATTAGTTAATGTCATTAATACTGTAACTGCAAGAATATACATCACAGGGCCTGACAATGTTAGCCCTCATTAAAAAAAAAGATACATAGAAAATGTACAAAATTTAAATATAGAGCAAATTCTAATAAAAGAGTAATTAAGGACAAGAAGTGAAAGAAGGAAAGTGGTTTGATTAAAGAAGAAGCTCTGCTGAGACACCTGAAAATAGCAGCAGCTGTGTCAATGTGAGCTGAGGAGGGAGGCATGTAATGTCATCAGCCCACAACATCTCTCTTTAGGATCCCTTTAATTCAAGTTCCAACTATAACACAGTCTGACTCACCTCTTATCATCTCCCTATTCTTCCTTTGTGTCTTTGATTTGACTTTATTACCTGTCGTTTTCTGCATTACTGGAGCTCCATTCATTCAGACTGGAGCTCAAATTAAAACAGAATAGATTCTGAATGGTCTTACCATCACTACTGCGAGAGCTGAGTGATCTGGCATCAATTGAATCTTTCCTCCTGTCGCGGTGACGTAGAGAATGGCACTCTGTGCAGGGGCAGAAGGAAGACAGGGACATTAAATGCACAGTATGTTTAGACTGATGGAGGGACAGATTTATACTGATATTGGTGAATCTCGGTGTTCCTCGTCTTCTGGAGCATTTCTAAATCTTGCCCCAGTTTTAGCCTTCCGTGTATGATCATTAATTCTGAGCCATAGAGCTATTGTAGGGATCCATTTACTCTGAAAAACAAGCACTGAACCATCTTTGAAAAATCCAGGAGGACATTTAACAAGACTTATAACAGTTCCAAAAATATAATATAACCATCTGGATGAAAAAATATTCTGTCTCCTGCGTGCAGTGGCGCCCCCAAAAATGTTGCACAGGGTTGGCTAGATGGGGCCACTGAAAAGCTTGGCATGGCACACCAAAGACCCAAAGCCATGAGCAATTTTCAGGAATTTGATTATGCTGTTTCAGTATATAGTCTAGATGAAAATTACGTCAATATATAGAGTCAGGAAATTGCATATAGGTGACATAGGTTTCTTATTTTACAGTTATAATTACAAATATTTGATGTGCATAGACTAATGCTGGTACAGTTAACAACTTGACTTCCATAACAATCCTGTTTTAATGTGTTATGTATTTATTTGATGAATTATTGTTCTTCAGAGAGGCTGGTTGTCCTCTTCCTTAAAAAGACAAATATACAGCTTTAATCTAAAGTAGGACATTGATTGTAGGGAATACAACATTTAATGGGAACAAGCTTTTAAAAGTTTAGGGGAGACTTGTGGGTACCCATAGAACCCATTTTTATTTAGCTATCTTGAGGTGAAAGATCAAGGGACCTCTTTGAAAGTGGCCATGCCAGTTGTATTTTGCCTAACTTTGGAGCATGATTTAGCCCCCTTCTCGTCAAGCTATGGCGACATGGTTGGTACCAGTGGATGCATTAGGTTATCAAGTCTGACAGGATACCACTATGTTTGTGCTAGCAATTAGTGTGCTAAAGTCTCTTTAAGACAGTAATGTTGGCCTCCAAATATTTCATACCCCCCACCCCCCAGGCGTGGCACCAGCCTCTTTGATCAAAAAATAATTCATAATCCCAAATTACAACTCTTGTTTTCTAATCCAGATAGCCAGAGCTAAAATATGTCAGTACTCATTTTGTATATCCATCCACAACCTGTTATACATGAACACGGTGTAAAATTAACTTTTTTCGTCTACCAGTCAAATGGCTTGTGAATATTCAGATTTTACCAGCCACTTGCATATTTTATCAGCATTTGGCTGGTGGATGGTGCTAATTTTGTACATTATACATGAGTATGTCACATACAAAATTAGAAATGTAGTGAGAAAAGGAAATGTTGCATGGGGAAAACAGGGAATAGATAAATGTTTAAATGTGTGCCAAGACCAAAAAGAAAAAGAAGAATACACTTCTGACTTTTTAAACCAACAGACAGGAGGTTAAAGGAACAGTATAAAGCTATTTCTTTATATCTACCCTTCCCTTAAGTACCAACTAACAATATTATTAACTGCAGTTATTTTTTTACTTGTCTAATAACCTTTTACCATACTCTGTCAGTTTCGTTCCCCATAGCTTAGCCCTGTGATCCAAATGTGACGTCAGTAGACAGGAGTAATAGACTGAGGCTAATCAAAATAATGCTGTTCTATAGTCATCTACAAAGATCTAGATAAAACTATAGGCCTACCTGTCCAATAAAAAGGCTGCAGCAACATTAAAAATATGGTATAATCAGTTACCTGACTGAGAATGTTCCCCGCTGCATCTCTCCTCCTTGTTGAGCTTGTGGACCTGACAGAGAGAGAGAGCAGGAGCTGATTAAAGTCAAGGTCTGGACAATGACCAAGAATCACTGCCGCTTCGCCTTCGCTGTGAGGAGCATAATCAGTCTAATTTCCTGTTCCTCGAAAGCAACACGCTGGCAGGATTACGTCTGTTGATTAAAGACTTAATGTGAGCCAGCGATTTGAGGTTTCTTTGTACTCTCAACAACCTGCTGTATGTAAAATAAATAAATGAATTACAATAAATATCAGGCACACAACAATGCCACTGCAACCTTTCTATCTGTTACTTTACTTTGAACTTTAAACCCTCAACTTCACGGTTTCTGGAGTTAAATTAGACGAAGCAATGTGCGTAGAAGATGAGGAGCTGAGCCCAAAACACAACACTAGAAGTGGACACCAAATACAAATTTGTAAATGTCTCTTTCCAGAATTCATGACCTGGTAGCTCAAGATAATCCACTGACCTTATTTAGAGCAGTTCAGGGAACTATTTTCTTTCTACCAAACTATACCCAGCAACCCTATCACAGTGCAGAAGGAAGCATGTATCTACTCATGGACGAGAGGCTTGTGGCAGCATGAGATGTCAACGTTAATGGCATCCTCCTCTGCTGAGGTGTAGCTCAGTGTAGCTTGGGTAAGCTAGCAGTAGATGCATGCTTCCTTCTGTGCGGTGATATGGTTGCTAGGCGTAATTTGGTGGAAAGAAAATAGTTCCTACATGAAAGTGCTCACAACAAGCTCTGTGGATTATCTTGGGTAACTGGGTCGTGATTTCTGGAAAAAGACATTGTTGTTGAGTATTTCAAATGAATTTTTAAGGCACCACAAGCTGAGTGCCATCTAGTTCCATTACACTGGAGAGACAGCAGACATTTCTATGGCTGATATCTCCAACTCTCACACCAAAACAGTCTAGATTGATAAATAGCACTACAGGTAAGAGATAAATATGTATTTTTGATTTTTTGGGTGAACAGTCACTTGTAATTCATGAGACTGATACATAAAGTTGCAATCTCAAAGATCTCCATTTGGTTTTATTTGGCAGCACCTTTGGCGATAAGCAATAATCAAAGTGTGTTTGTTGGCAGACTAAGGCTTGAAACCAGACTGGTGAATTTGTAAATATCAGCTCGTTTTATGAGCCTGCAGCTGATGAGATGAAAGGGTTATCACAGCATAGATGGTGTGTGTGTGTGTGTGTGTGTGTGTATGTGTGTGTGTGTGTGTATGTGTGTACATGTACTATATATGTTTTGGTGTGTGTGTGATTGTTAAAGCCTGTGTGTGATTTTTCCTGACAGATAGGCTAATTACTTAATACTTAACATTTACTCAAATGAAAATCTCAGAGATAATTACTTTAACAAATATAATAAAATGTAAAAAAAAAAACCTTTTACCAATACAGCACATTTTCCTCATGTTCATAACAACATATTTTCATGCAGGTGACAACTGGTACAGAACATCCTGTTAGTCACACTGAGGTTATGTAGATATGGATAAGTAGAGCCGGTTTAATCCAGTTACAGAAGATTTTCCTCACCCAGTGACTCACTGCACCTTTACATCTTGCTGACAGTGCACATGCACATTTATGTAATGATGAATATGTACATCCAAACATATTTATTCTTTTTTTAACGTACAAAAATCTTAAAATTTTAATTTTTATGCAGACAAAGTGGTCCCTGAAATATTTGTCAACATATTTCAGTTTTAGGATTTATGTCACTCTCACACAATTGCTCATTTTCTCGTTTCACAGCCTCCCTCTCTGAATTTCTAAGTGGCCTTGCTCTCAGGTCTCCAGTGCGTCCCATACTGAGTAAATAGGATTAAGAAAGTATAAACACTTCTAATGACATACAAGGTTGCCAGATTTGACTGGATACATCTTAATGGGCTTCTTGGGCTGCAAAGCACAAACAGACAGCTCAAAAACATCTTCTGAATTAACTCAACTAAAGCTGGGAAATAGTTGAGATTATGATGGCCCTTAATTGAGAGGGAAAGACAAACAAAACTGACCCTAAACCTGCTGTAAGTCTGGAGTGCTTAGACAAATACTGCTAACTAAACAACACAATGAAATGGAAACCGTGGTCTACAGCCAAACGTCTGGGTGGGAAGGGATGAGGAATAATGTGTGGTTTTAAGTGCTCAGAGGAAAATGCCCTAAGCAAGGATACGGTATCAGATCAGTACTATCCTGAAAGGACCTCTGTGGCCTCGCTTGTCAGATGGATAATAATGTCTTGGTAAAGATGTAGTACATGCCTCATCACATGATTCAGTTTAAAATGTCATCAAATACTTTTTCTCTCACTTTGCATCATATAACGTGCGCTAAAAAATGCATTAAAAAAAGGGGACACCCTGATAATACCATTCAGTTTGACGCTGCATGATTCAGGTTGTGGGGACAATTTTCCAGAATGGGATCAGTCACTGCCATGTCTAAGGATTCCCAATTCCAACAAGCAGGAATGAATGCCATTTGGCTCTGGCAGGCAGACGCCAACGGCTGACTCACCTTATGCCCACACGATGAAAGGAGCAACGAGCTAAAGCTAGTCTCTGTGCAGCTTTGCCTCAGGGTATAAATAGCCCTGGCGCCTGGCTGCTAGCCCTCCCAGGCCTAAGCGGGGGATCCTGGTGCTTAGCCGTAGCTTAGCATAGTATGACGTTATTGGCCTGGAACCCAGCTGAGAGCAGCGACACACACCTGCTTTGGAGTAAAGTGTGTGTGCTGCTCAGCAGAGCTGGAAGCCTGTGAGGCTACATATCCCGCTGAAGTATTTAAATCTGACACTTCAGTCTACAGTTCATTTGAAGTATTTATGTAACACTAACTGCCAGCAGAGTTTGCAATCCAGTTTGGACTCAGTCATTCATTTCTGCACCAGGCTTGATTGGGCCAAGCTGTGTTGAAGCATTAGGACTGCTGATGGACATTTGTTCAAGCTCCACAACAGAAAAAAAAACAACTCACTGTAATCTTCAAAAGTGGACTTATAAGTCTAAGTCTTTTGTAAATGATACTTTGTTGCAGCATTTTTTTCTCCAAACAGCTGCTAGTAAATTTGTAAACAAAGGATATATCATTTAAGCCTGCAAATCAACATTTTGGGCAGATTTGAGAGTAAGTGGTTTAAGATTTTTAAGTGTTGCTAATGTGCAGGCGGTATTTGGGCTCAAACACCGCAGGCAAAGAAAGAGTGATCCAGGTTAGAATTTTTTGGCATCAGATACCTGCCTGAATCAGTGATCAAACATCAAGATCTTTATTGACATTCTTGAGGGTCAAGCCTGACATTACCAGACTAAACTGCAAATGCTAATTATTCTGGAACCTCTTGATTCATTTTTAATTTCCAAGAGGAGTATCAACAGCTGTAGATCAAAGTGACTGTGGACGCAGTGGGGTAGATCAAGAACCAATCAGGGAAACAAAATATAGTGCTGTGCAACAGGCAAATGTAAACAGACTGAAACATGCAGAAATGAGCTGTGACAGTGTAGCATCAACATGTCTGTGAACAAGTGCTGCCTTTTTTGCCACCACAACTTGTAATACAGAAAGATCCACATCAGCTGCAGCCATCTTGGTTATTTTTCATAATGCCTCAATGACGCTCCTCTTTCCGCAGAAACAGAAATTCACAGAAAGGTTCCGCAAGTTGTCAGTCATTGTCTTAAACCCCATTTTAGATAAATGGTTGTGTTTGGTTGAATCTGTCTGAAAGGGTGGAGGCCTAGATGCATCGATCAGAGCAAATAAAACATGAGCTTTGTCTGTTTCTCAGGCTGGAGAGTCAGGCTCTTGTGTGACTTGTTGTGAGAACCTCTACTGTTCTCAGGAGGCCTCAAGAAAACCATCACTAAAGCCCCCTTTCCGCTAACATGAAACAGGTTATGTTCCAGATCTTGCAATTAATTTTGATTCATATGAAGCATTTCGATTAAAATGATATTGGCTCAGAACCTTAAAAGTTTGTTCCCAGCTGGAATTAAAAAAAAGCAAGTTTTCATTGACCTGAAATGTGAACCATGAGGACCTCAGCGGGTGTGACATATTTTGCCGATTGGACAGAGGATGTCTTTTTTTGTTTTGTTTTTTTGGATTAAACAAATTTCCGTAACTAATAAAAGCTTACGGGTTACTGATATAATTGACCATCTTGTCCTGCTGTTCACTTTCGCTGTGCATTGTACAATGCCCTCTTTTGATGACCCATCCTTGATTACAATGGTTCTGCTCAGAACTGCAGGAAACTTGGGCTAGTCACTAGGTAGCACAAAAGTTCCAAGAATCCTAAATGGAACTGGATCAAAAACCAGAGCTAATTTGGTGGAAAAGGGGTGTGAGTACAGCATTTCCTCATTACTAAAAATAAAGGGAAAGGAAATGGATCAGTTATCTGTGTAACACATTAGATTATCATTTGACTCACCTGATTATTGTTGTCAATATGAGGTCTCTTGATGGCTACAAAATGTCGAATCTTCCTGTTGGAAGCAAAATGAGTGTGTCAGTAATTTCTAATAACTTCTCAGAAATGAGAAACAATCAGAACTTTGGGCTGATTAATCTTAGCTTACCCTCCTTGGCCGATGACTGGTGTGATCTTTACGTGTTGTTGTATACTGTCACCTGACTTCTTTCTGGCATAGTAAATGCCCTGCCATTCCTTCAGAGACAATGGAGCAGTCAGGTAAAGATACAGCATTGTCTCATTTCACTGGTGGGTAGATGAATGGATGTTTCTGACTCACCTTTCCTTTTTTGATACAAGTGTTGATGGTGTCCAGGAGGTCAGCTCTGTTCTTGTCACTCTTTGGAAGTTCGGTCAGTTCCTTCCCGATTAGCTCCCCCTTGTGGTAGCCCATCATCCGCTCAAACGCTGGGTTTACGTACTGAGACAAAACCAGGAATTCTTAAAGTTAAGTAACATTCTATGTGTTTCTTCTTGGTGACAAATTCCATGAAATTGACCAAACCAACAATGAATGTATCCGACTAACCACAGAGCTCCATTGTTAAATATATTTAAAGCTGCGGTAGGCACTTTTAGTTTGGCATCATTAGGCATAATACACACAATACTCTTTAAGCATATTGTAATTCAAGTGGACTGAGAGAAAACTAGATTTCTGCATCTACGCTTGACTCTGTTTTCAGGCAATCTAGCTCATAATTGGACAATTTGGCCAATCATAGGTCATTTTACAGCATTCCCACTGGCTGTGCTACGAATTCAGATAGCGTGCACATCCCTGCAGTGAAAGTCTGATTCAATCATGGAGAATCCTGCAGAGAAAGTTACTACTCCAGTACTGGCAACAACTGCCTACACTGCAAAGCAACCCAAAAAAGGAAGACTGTTAACCTGAGCTAAAGGCTCATGGCTGTGTCTTCAAGTTACTCTTTATGTAGCTAACATTAGTTAGAGCCTCGAATCACGGTGCGTCCTCTGCCTCACTCCCTGCTGTTACAGACCAGCTGGGACATACCCCCATTCCAGCCAATCCAGCCAGCATAAACCCCAGCTCCAGGGCAGTGGAGCCCCGACTTCCTGTTGAATCAGCAAACTTTTTGTTGCTGCTGTTACACAGGATAGAGCCAGTGGTCACCAGCCCACTGTGACACCTGGCCAACTGCAAGCTTGTCTCCAAAGCTGCTGCCACTATTCTAAAGCAGTCCGGAGCAGTGAGGAGTGAGGCGGAGGGACTGTGGGGTGGCTCACTAGCTAATTCTCATTTGTGGTCTGTTGAACAGAGGGAGTACTCTACAATGCAAAAAGATTAAAGACAGAGGGCTCTAGTTTCCCGGCGCAGCGCAGGGTGGTGCAGGGTGGTGCAGGGTGGCGAACCCCGCGCAGAGCTAGTTTCGAGCAGCGCAACCTGAGGTGCGCTCAGTTTGGTAGTTTGGCAGACCGAGGTGCGCTGAGATGGGTGTGGCGGCGCAGCAGGGGGAGGTGTCGACAGATCCAGCTTGGCGCAGTGACAGTTTCGTGCCAAAAGGCTTCGCCGAAGGTGCGCTAAAAGCTCGCCAGCTGAAACCAGGTCTACTGTCAGCGCAGGCGGAGCGCAGCCGGTGTAAGCCGAAGTTTGGCTGACCGGTGGACAGTGCGCACACGTCACCAAAACCTCACAGGCAGGTTTCCAGAATATCAGGCACATTAACAATGCAATAAATAGCCACAAAACCACTATTCAATGCAACTATCTGCAATCATCACATGAATGTATCTCTGTATCGACTGTCCCGTCACATCTGATGTCAGATCAAAGGGGATTGGCACCGTTTGGCACGTTTGGCACGCTTGGCACGCGTAATGGAAACCCAACCTGATTTGATTAACACAGCTGCAAACTAATGAGTTCACATCCCTCTCAGCCAACCACAAACAGCCACAGCATCAGATAGGGAGTATATATTCAGCATCTGTCATCTTAGAGAAGTCAAAAGAAAAGAAACAGAGTGAGACTGCGAGAGAGAAAGAGAGAGCGCGCGCACGAGAGAATCTCAACATTGATTTACAATTGTGGTGACCTCCTCCCAGGCTACCTTTGCATCATCAGCCCGTGGAGGTCTGCTCGCAGTTCCGTATATTTGGACACTGCGAGCTTGGACCTCCCGGACCAAAACATCAGTTTTCTCCTGGGAGAAGTTTGGCCGTCTGACGCTGCTGCCATGGCGAATTGAGTAAACTCTCATTACCCCTTTGCGCGGCGCATTTAAGGGCGAGGAGAGGGGCTCATTTGATTGGTGTGATGTGTGTAAAACCCACTCCACGCCTTCTCTCCTCCCTCTTTCCGACTTGCGCAGGTAGGAGGGATGGAGGTAGGAAAGAGGAGTAGCTGCGCCAGGCGCACGGTGTGCCAAACTTGCAAAATCCGCCTGGCCACACCCAATTGGCGAAGCGCAGGTGTGCTGTGCCTCCGCCGCGCCCGGTCTGCGAACCTAGAGCCCAGATTGTATGGGAAACACTGGGTTACTGTATGAAGCGCATGCATAATGCTCATGGTTGTCTGGTGGGAGGGGCTTAGGACAGAGAGCGGCGAGGTGCAGGAGGAGGGTGTATTTTCAAATTCTGATGATTTTCCTTTCACTAAAACTGAAAGATTTCCTCCCCCAGGAGCACCACAGACGGGCTGGGGAAGTCAGAAAGTACTGAGACATGGATACATTGTTGGTTTTAGTCTTTTCAAGGGAATTTTTACAGTAATAGAAATGTAGAACAAAAGCAAAGAGTTGAGATCTTGCTCCTTCTAAATCTGTATATATGCCTGCACATGTGTGTGTATCATCCCCACCTGTATTATGTGGTCCTCACTGGTGATCTCCACAGCCTCTTGACAGTGCTCCAAAGCAGTGAAGACAGAGTTACAAGCCCTGTGGATGATTACAGCAACACCATCTCAGGATGAGCATCCTCAGTACCAACACCAGGTTGTATGTGTCTGTGCATGTATTTATATTTATTACTGCATGGATTGAGGAGTTTTCCCTCTGCTGTACCTGAGTTTGAACTGGCAGCGCACCTCTCCATGTTCAATCTGTATCAGTTCATTAAAACAGGCTGACACACTGCTGTTCTCCACAAACCTCTGGAGCCCGAACAAGGTTAAGTGGTGTTTGAAGGAGGTAGAGAGAAAGAGGGGAGTGGAAAATTGAATGAGTAAGGATTTACTCAGTAGCAACTTGTTTTGTAACCTCCTACGTCATTTCCACACCATCAAATAGCACTGACAATAAGTGCTTCTTTCAAATCTGGCAACATGCTGCTCTTTTAGTGTCTGAAGTCTCTTAGATGCTCAATAAAAAGCATCTATCAGAGACAGGGATAACACATTCAATCTGCTATAACCACACAGTCACAAGCGAGGCAAGTTATTTCAGACGTACTCTGCTGAATCCTGCACAGAGGAGAGGAAGAACAGATGGCTCCTCCTGGTCAGCCGGCCTATAGGCAGAAAAGAATCATTACCATCTGCAACCACAATCATTCATCAGACACATACTTGTAGTGGTCCACACTTATATATAAATGTAGATTAAAGGCCATGAACTTCTGCCAAAGTTATTTCAAATGGCAGATTTCTGTTTTCTTTTTTCCTCTCTGCTCTTCCCTTTTAGTTCTATAGTTCAGTCAGAAAAAAAACGATGTCATATACATCCATGCAACAATCAGAATTCAGCAACATCTGTATCAAACTCTTATGAGAAGTTAGTGGGTTATTTACAGTGTTGAGATGAAAATTCTGGAGTAAGTGTTGAGTTTCATTCATGGTTAACACTGATCAGTGGAGCGTCTGACATGGCTCCTGCTGAACTGATGGACATTACACTGAATTTGTAAAGACAGCAGGTAAACATGGAGGAGGTTTTGAGTTTGTATTAAAGGGGACCTATTATGCTAACATTCAGGTACATACTTGTATTTTGGATATCCTCTGGAATATGTTTATATACAGTAATGGTCAAAAAACACTTCATTTTCCTCATACTGTTTGTGCTGGAACACCTGTATTCACCCTCTGTCTGAAACACTCCTTTTTAGTGCCTTTCTCCTTAAACCCCTCTTCCGAAAAAAAACCAAAAAAACCAACCCAAAACAGTCTGCTCTGATAGTACAGCGTTTCCAGGTCTTCCGTATCTCGTCATCTCTGCCACCACTGCAGCTGGAGAATGACTGTAACAGAGTAGCCTATAGCGGCACCAATAAGAGCTTCTAAACATGACCAGACATGTTCCAGCAGGAATATGATCTAATGTCAGTAGGAAGTTTAAAGCATTGGCAAATAAGTTTATATTGTTCCCTGATGTTAGCATGTAGCTACATGTAGCTGTGTACTTGCAGCTGGGGAATGACCGTAACAGGGTACAGCAACACTTTTTCCCCTTAAAATTCACAGGTAAAAGCCTCTAAACAAAACCAGACATGCTCCAGCAGGAATATAATCCAATATTGAGAAGAAACGAACAACATCAGCAACAAGATTAAATGTTTCCATGATGTTAGCATGTAGCTAACATCATGGAAATATGTAATCGTGTTGCTGATGTAGCAGTATACTTGCAACTGGAGAGTGACTGTTACAGAGTTAAGCTGCATGTTCCACCCTGAAAAACACAAGTAAAAGCTTCTATACCCAGACCGGACATGTTCCAGCAGGAATACGATGCGATATCGGGAAGAAATTAACAACATCAGCAAAGAGTTTCATGTTGCCCTGATGTTAGCATAAAGCTACATGTAGCAGTGTACTTACAGCCACGGAATAACCGTGTAATGGCACTTTCTCCTGTTTTAAATTACCAATGCAGCGTACTTGGAGCCAGGCGAATGACCGTAAAGGAGTAAAGCAGCACTTTGTCCCACTTAAAGTCACCACTAACAGCTTCCAAAAACAACTGGACATGTTCCTGCGGGAATATGATCTAAAATCAGGGAGAAAATAACAACATCTGCAACCAAGTTCACATATTCCCTGGCATTAGCATTTAGCTACATGTAGCAGTGTAGGCTACGTAATGCACACACTCGCAGTTGTGTGCTTGGAGCCAGAGCATGTGAGTGGAGCGGAGCGGGTGAAAATTTCCGCTCCTCGCTCGCAGACCTGTCACTTTGCGGCGCTCGTCCGCTCTGCTTGGTTCTGCGCATTCTTCGCTCAGCTCCATCATAAATTTTATCCCGCTCCACTCGCTCACCATTCCGCTCAAAAAAACTGCGTCGTACTACCCTAACCTGTAATCTTCTATTCACAAAAATTTTTTTTCCGACAGTCCATTGGTCCGACATCCCATTGTTCCGACCATATTAAACCCATTGTTCCGAAGTCCTGTTGTTCTGAAATCATCATGATGCCCTGTGGTTAAGGTCTGGTTAGGTTTAGGCATAAAAACCACTTGGTTAGGGTCAGGAAAAGATCATGGTGTGGGTTAAAATGAAAAAGAAAGTAGCAAACACATAAGCCGTGAGCCTGCTTCGCCTCAAGCCTTTCCCAGCTGACCCAGAGCCGGTCAAGGTAGAAATACGCCCGCCGGGAGCCGTTCAGCACCGCGGAGAGCTCCCCACACAACCCCGACCCCAGAGTTAATAACAGGAGGTTATGGTGTTTCACTCTCTCCTCTCTATGACACTTGTATCTCGACCAGTAGCCTACTTTTGTTGCGTTGCTGATCCTCTATGGTACACAAATACAGTAATAATCACATATCGGAACAACGGGACGTTGGACTAATGAGAGGTCGGAACAATACTACGGCACCAATAAAACATGAGCTTGGTAGATTCTCCGGGGAAGCCCTCTCCCCGCAGTTAGGGACCGTTCTACACGGTACCGCTGGCAGGGTGGAAATAAGTCAAAGTGTGGAGGAGACGGACCAGGTTAAACGGCCGACCTTCGAAGCCCTCTCGCCTCTCCCCGCAGTTAGGGCAAGTTCTCCAAGGTACCACTGCTTCTCTTCTCAGTTTCTTTTCTGAAGTACACAGTAAACTCCATAGTTTTGAAAGAAAATAGTGTGGGTGTGCGCAGGTGCAAAGATGCATTCTGAGTGGGGCATGAGCGACCGGAGCGAAATTGGAGTGAGAGATAAGGCTCCGCTCCACCTTTTAAAAAAATAGTCGCTCCTCGCTCAACACAAAATCCTTCCGCTCCCCGCTCTGCTCACATGCTCTGCTTGGAGCAGATGACCATATAAAAGAAAAAAACCCATCAGAAGTTAATGTAAGCTTTTAGCAAAGGTAGAAAATAACATTGGAAACAGTATTCACACATTATCTTGCTCCTAGGGATTACTTTTGTATGTTTACCTCATTATTTTTTAAACTTTGGCCATATTTAATATGAACATCCAACACTGTACCATGATATGGGCTATATAACAGGAAGTAATGAAAAGCATAATAGGTCCCCTTTAACTCATTGAGGTAATGCTAGTTTGTGGTTTTAAACTGTTGATAATGTTACAGATAAATATTTAAGATTTAAAGCCAAGTTTTCAGGAAGTTATGGCATAATCCCACAAAACAACACAGAGGATATCAAAATCTACAAAAGACGCAATCAGACTTACTTCTGTGGCACAACAGCCAGAATAACTGCATTTTCAGAGGGCTTTGTGGCACGGATCAATCTGAAAATAAAACAAATGCAGATTAAAAGTCAGCAGGAGTGTCAATGGGAGTTCATTTCATCCACACTTTGAGCTCATGAGAAGTGGCTTGGACTCAGGTACAGGATAAACATGTGGGCAGATTGGGGGTGATGTCATTGCCACAAAAGAAGGAACAGAACATTGCTGTGCTTTACACAGAAACACCAAACACAACATGTGCTTCAGAGGTTCAGCCACAAAGCCACACTGCTGGCAAGACGTACGGGAAAGTGGGCCGGGAGGTGGGGGGAGGAGAGAAGACAGTGATGGAGGACGAGAGGAGGAACTGAGGGAACAGATAATGGCAGAGGTCCTCATGGGGGATAAGGATGGAAGGGGGGGCGAAGGAAAAAAAAAAAATAGTGACGAGGAAAAGGAGTGAAGGAGCAATGGACAAACAGGGAGCAGCTCCCAAACTGTGGTATTAGGAGACAGGAGAGACAAATGGATCTGTTCCTTTACTTGTGGAAATAATGAAGCACTTACAATAAATCACTCTGCAAAATATATAGTAGTGGCTTTTAGTCCATCCAAGAACTTTGGGTGGACTCGCACTGTATCTAACAATAATTACAGCCCAAAAGTCTGCAGAAATCATGACAGAAATAAAGACACAAGAAGTCTCAGCTAAATATAATGAGGAATATGCACCAAGACCTGAAAAGCAAGGATGTTTAAACATAAATAGAAGGTCTTTACAGACCTTGTAACAACTGTCTAGAGGGTATTCAACCAGCATTAACACAACCATGGGACACTGAGATCCACGGGAATCCCCATTTAAATGCTGTAAACACAAGTCCTTTGTTCACAGATGTCAACAAGTAGAAGGATTTCCAGCTTTCAGTAGTTATTTGCAACAGTCAGAAAATGACTATAATTCAAATATCACCTACATGTTTGGAATTTAATTCAGGGACTCAGTGAGAAGAAAGTAATGGTTTGACATGTAGCAATTTTTGAAATATATAGGACTATAATGCCTCCTAAATAAATCTTCCTGTGCACACAAGAAAGTAACAAGGGACAAACTTAACACAGACCAGTATTGCCAGTATGAACTCAACTAACACCTGGCATGAACGAAGGAATGAGGTTATTCTACAGTCAAAGAGGTTTCTGAAAAGTGGCCAGGGGCTTTTACTGTGAAAAAAAAAATCAACAAGAAAGAACGAAAAAAAACTTTGTCAGGCTACTGAATGTGTACTACTCTTGGCTCCCCTGGGCCACCATCCAGCTTTCATGTCAACAAACAAACTCACAACTTGTAGTCCAAGCTCACTCAAGTGCTTCTCTGCTTCAACAGCCACTTATCATCCAGTGTCCATTTCTTTTTCTTCTTCTTAAAGAAGAACACTGAATAGAGCAACAGTTACTCAACTACAGTTACTCAGAGTGCAGCTTCAGGTTGCAGATGCGTGTAGTGCCTTCAGTGAACACCAGATAGAGCCAACAAGCCCTTCACTGCAGTGTCCCTGAGCTATTTACAGTACAACTGCTTTAAACACTGACCTCTGGACATTCTTTTATATCACTGCTTTTAGATAGAAACCTCATGATTTAAGCGTTGATTATTTTTGATTGTCCTGTAGGATAACACGGTCTTTGTGAGAAGAAGTTATCTGGCCCTTTAGTTAGATGAGGCCCTCTCAAACTTTTTGTTTAACGTCAAACACGAGTGCTGGTCTGAAAACAGCAACAGAAAAGAAGCCAGATTATTGTGCCAGTTCAAGTTTTTCAAGGGATCATGGTGCAATCCGATGCCTAAAGGAATAGGTCCACACTGAGGAATTATGTATTCTTGCAGAGAGATGAAAAGATAGATATAATCCAAATGTCTGTACATTAAAAGATAACTTCGGTATTTTTCAACCTGGGCCCTATTTCCCCATGTGTATGTGTGCGTATGATTCATAGGTACAACTCGTTCTAAAATTGTTTCAGTATTGAGGGAGGCGGATGCAGCCGGGAGCCGCGAAACGAGCTAAAACGGTAACGGGGGCAAATGTGTCCCGTATAAGTTTGCGCATTAAAAGTGCTTTTTTTCGCCACTGACCAGTTCAGATCGCCAGTGCTATCTCTGGATATAGCATACTAAACGTTTCCCTTACCCTTTACTTGCTCTGGGCTGTGACGTCATCTTGCGAGAGCTTTGCTTGTTGCCGGAAGAAAACAGAGGAGCCATGCAGAGCACCGCTCTGAGTGGCGCTGGTTGTCCCGGAGTACAGCTGAGAGTTTTACTGCATCGATTGAAAACAATGGGTCATGTTTGTGCTTATCCGAATTGCAAGAACAGGATGTCGTGCATCACCCCGTACAGCTTTCAAAGCCTGCCTTTGTCGGACGGCGAGATGCTGAAGTTGTGGCTAGTTGTGCTACAAATGAATGCTAACAGTCCTGTCCACTGCGCCTTGCAGACCATCGGGTCTGCAGTGCTCACTTCTCCCAAGATGACTACTGCCAGCCGAAGAAGAGAAGACATCCAATCCCGAAACACCTCTTCCTCAAGAAAACGGCTGTCCTACGAGTAGAGAGAGCTACAGACACAGTGGAGCAAAGCTCTCGCGAGATGACGTCACACACAGCCCAGAGGTAAGGGAAATGTTTACTATGCTATTTACAGAGATAACACTGGCAATCTGAACCGGTCAGTGGCGAAAAAAAGCATTTTTAATGCACAAACTTATACGGGACGCATTTGCCCCCGTTACCATTTTAGCTTGTTTCGCGGCTCCTGCCTGCATCCGCCAGTTTTAGACCAAGTTGTACCTATGAATCATACGCGCACATACACATGGGGAAATAGGGCCCAGGTTGAAAAATACCTAAGTTATCCTTTAAATAGAGTGCCATATGGATGTTTTTTGTAGGCCAACCCAGTAGTTACTATCATCCTGGTTCCCTTGCAACACATTCTCAAGGATTCAACACAAACTCAAGCTATGATGCTCTATGTACCCCTCCAGCATTGGGTTTGGACACTCAGAGATGGCGTGTCAATTTCTGCTCGTTACATGCATTGTGTCTTTTCAAATTAAACTTCCCATTTCACAGAAAATGTACAGCTTCTGCTCCTCAAAAGCATGCAGTCTCCTTTTAAAATAAACTTAGAATGTAGGTAAAAACCTCTGTTTCTAGGTTTACTTCCTTAGGTTTAGACAACGAAAGGCATATACAGTCTCAAAAAGATGCAGAAAAACTGGACCATGCATTTGTTACCTCAACGCTGCATTACTGCAATTCCCTATTATCATGTAGCTCTAATAAGTCTTTAAAAACTCTAATTCAGAATGCAGCAGCACGTGTACTGACAGGAACTAAGAAACGAGATCATATTTCTCCTGTTTTAGCTTCTCTGCAATGGATCCCTGTAAAATCCAGAATTGAATTTAAAATCCTACTGTTAACTTATAAAGCTCTAAATGGTCAAGCTCCGTCATATCTTAGAGAGCTCATAGTGCCATATTATCCCACCAGAACTCTGCACGCTGAGAATGCAGGGTTACTCGTGGTCCCTAAAGTCTCCAAAAGTAGAAGAGGAGCCAGAGCCTTCAGCTATCAGGCTCCTCTACTGTGGAATCATCTTCTTGTTACGGTCCGGGAGGCAGACACCGTCTCCACATTTAAGACTAGACTTAAGACTTTCTTCTTTGATAAAGCTTATAGTTAGGGCTGGCTCAGGCTTGCCCTGTACCAGCCCCTAGTTAGGCTGACTTAGGCCTAGTCTGCCAGTGGACCTCCTATAATACACTGAGCCCCTTCTCTCTCTCTAAGATTCTGAAAATTGGTTCTTCATTTGCTAACATTCATGTCCTATTACTGCATGTCACTAACTTCTTCTCCAGAGCCTTTGTGCTCCACTCCGCAGCTACACATGGATTGTGGGTCGTGGTTACACTGCTGTCATGGTCCTGCCTGATGCTGACTGCTACTGCTATTATTATTATCATACTTCTACTATTATTGTACACATATAATCATTATTGTCACATACATACACTGTCATATATTAATATTTACTTATAACATAAATGCTACCAAATTACTACTATTATTATTATTATTATTATTATTATTATTACTACTACTAATTCAATGTTATTGTAGCTATTGTCATTAGTGTCTGCCCTGCATCTCTCTCTGTCTCTCCCTCTATTCATGTATCAATTTCTCATATGGATTACTGTGAATTTATTATGTTGATCTGTTCTGTACACACGACATCTGTTGCACATCTGGAAATGGGATCCCTCCTCAGTTGCTTTTCCTAAGGTTTGTAACATTTTTTTTCCCTGTTAAAGGGTTTTGGGGAGTTTTTTCTTATCAACTGTCATGGTCGGGGCTTTATAAATAAAATTGAATTGAATTGAATTGAATTGAATTGAATTGAATTGAATTGAACTGAATTGAAAAGCGGCAAGGTTTTGAGGAAAACATTATGATTTGGCTTAAAATGAATATGTTTGTTAATAATGTAATCTGTAATGGCACTTGTCATATGTCACTAGCATAACATGCTACACATACTAGCACACTACGTTGCTATCAAAGTAACTACTGACTTTTGGTTTCACACAGGAAACAGACAGTGGTCTCCTGGTTAAAAGTCCAGAGTTTGTTTGACCCACCTGCCCGATGCAGAATTTTTCAATCTTTGTGTCGGTATCTGATGCCGAGGGCAACCGACCAAGCGTCAATATTTGATGATTTGGGAGAACAACAAAAAGCCCATAGGATTTTTCTGTTGGATTTTGGATTATTGCAGAAAATAATTTCTGTAGAAAACAAAAGTTTACAATACTCACATGTTTTTGTTCAGCAAGATTATCTTGCTGAACAAATAAATACTTCTTGCTTGTGTTAACCTCAGACCTTATTTCAGGCATCTAACCAAAAACCCATTCAAGAAACCCACTGACTTCAGGACAAAGGAACCAGAAGTGTTGAAATGCTAACTAATTTTTGCATTTTAGGACTCATTACTGCCACACTGTGTATGAAGCTGCAGCCAGCAGCTGATTAGTCTAGCTTACCACGGAGGCTGGAAACAGGGGGAAATAGCTAGCCTGGCTCTGTCCAAACGTAAGAAAATCCACAGACCAACACTGCTGACTAACACACGACAAAATAAAAATATAATGGAGGCTTATTCCCACTAGAGAAAAAGTGGAAAGAGAAAAAACGTTTTCATACTTCATGCTGTAAAGGCTTGAAATGAGCTCCCAGAGGATGTGGTGCGGGCTCCTTCAGTTAACTCTTTTAAACACAGGCTGGATAGATTCTGGTCAACAAAGGCTGTTCTGTATGATTATAGAGCTGATTTGTGATTATGAACTAATGTGATTTAAGTGTATTTTGGTACTGTATTGTATGATTTTGTTTTGTGCGTGGAGTCTGGTGGAGTGGATTTATGTCCTGTACCAGACATTTTTCATTAAATTTCATTAAATTTATGTGTCTATTATGGCTTATGTGTGACTATTTCCTGGTCAGAGCCAGGCTGGCAGTTTCTCCTCATTTTCTGTCTTTGTGCTAAGCTAAGCTAAGCTAAGCTAGCTGTATGTATCTTCATGTATACTGCACAGACATGAGTGTAGTATCAGTATTGTCACGTAACCCTCAGAGAGAAAGTCAACAAATATATTTCCAAAAAAAGTCAAACTATTCCTTTAAGCAACATTTTTAGAAAGAGACATGCAAATGTCAGTCCATCAAAGATTAAATAAACAACCACACTGTCACCAGAGACACAGGCAAGGCTTACCGGCATACAGCTTCAGGCTCAAAGTACCGCGAGTGGCGTCCGTCAATGACTATGATCTCATGGTGCTTGTCCAGGAAACACTCGACGGCAGACTCGGGTGTGCGTGCGATGTTACACCTGAACCCAGCGCGGTCACAGGCCCACCAGAAGGCATCGCTTTGGCTGTCCTCCTTGGCGAACACCAGTAGGACCTGAGGAGACAAGGAAGGAATGGACGCCTGGGTGAGATAGTGCTGCTACTACAGTGATAATTATAGGATATCTATGTTAGTAGGTCCTCACTACATTTACTACTCAGACAGGACATTCTCCAAAGCAGCAGACAACAGAGAAACAGCTGTAAAATATACTTCTGACACCGAGGTTACAGTACGACCAGGGTTACTGACATTTATGGGCCTGAATAATACAATAACTGATGTACCTGCCAAACCTCTTCAAGACCTAGAAAACACACAATTGTGAACAGATTGCCAAAACCCTCTGATGTGACAGCAGCTCAGACATATTTAACCTCATAATACCCACCTCCCTTTTGAAGGATAACTATTTTCGGCCATTAGGGACACCATTTTTTTTTTTTTTAATTATACTAAATTATACTAATTATACTTGGATAGATTAATAAAAACCCAAAGCTATTTTTTTTTATTTTGTGTAACTTATGATGAGTATTAAGAGCTGATACAGTAAGATTTAAGGTTTAAATATATGGCTATGAATACAAATAACACTGAAGTTGATACTGATGTGGAGAGCATGTCACAAACCCACTTACTGACAACTACAAATAATGTTCAAGAAAAATAAAAACAGAAAAATAAGTGCTGTGAAGTATCACACTGGCTAAGTCGTCAGTTTTGTTGTCACACAGCAAGAAAGTTCTGGATATGAATCTTAGCATTTTGTCTTCTTTTCTTGAGCCAGGTTTTTTTTTTTTTTTTGAAACGCATATGCAGCCACAGCAATAATGTTTATAGCATAAAAACATTTTTTTGTCGACTCTCGCCATCATCTACTGGACTCTCATATCAAACACTGCAAATAGATGACTCCCCCGTCACAAGATGAATAAATATATTCAAAGAAAAAAAAACACTCAGTGACATAACAATCAAGCACAGTTTGCATCCTCTCTCTGTGAATACGTGGACTGCCTCCCACAGTCACATGACAGGCACAGCTCAGGCCATTTGAAGACAATGACCTGCCCATAAATGTGAGCATGTTCATCCATCTGCTTTTTGTCCTCCTGTGATAGGCTGACAACCTGTGCAGAATGCCTCTATGCCTTTTGCTCATTGCATGCTGGGATAGACTCCAACACGCATCACGACCCTCAATAGGAGGTATTTAAAAAAAGAACAGACTAAAACACCTGGGTTAAACAGACCACATAATGTAAACATCTCCTCCCAGTGAGTTATTCCCGCAGCACAAACTGAGCAGCACATAACCACAACTGAAAGCTGTGTTTCACATCAACACAACAGCGGTGGAATGAAACTACTGTAAGAATATCTGCTCAGGTATCCTACTGCACAATTTGAGTCAGTTATACTTGAGAATTTCAATTTTATGATACTTTATACTTCTACTCCACCACATCTCAGAGGCTAACGCTGTACCTTTTACTGCACTACATTTACTTTTAAAGCTCAAGTTACTTTGCAGATTCAGATTATTAATACAAAATATAAAATGAACTAATTATGATATTATTATTATATGTTAAGCTACCCAGCAGTATTTAAGGTTATTTAAATGAGCTCCATCTTTACCAGCTGCAACATGAAAGTGTTGAACACATGAATGCCTCAATAATATAATATATATTTTAACTGGGCCATTCTGCTTAATGAGTACTTTTACTTTTAAATAGATTTTGAATGCTAGTTGTAAAGGAGTTTTTTTACACAGCAGTATTAGTGCTTTTACTTCAGTAATAGATCAGAATACTGGCCCCACCACTGCAACAGTCATGAAGCCTGCAGAGTGCGGATTTATGTTTTTGATCCCACACTGTGTTTTGACCACAAACACACCAGCCACCTTTGGTACAGTGGTGAGGAAACACAACACTGTAAGAGATAAATACAGTATAGAGACACACGTATAGTGTAATGCACACACACACACACACACACACACACACACACACACACACACACGCACACACAGGCAGCTGGGCTGCAGCCAGAACCAACAGTACTCAGCTCTGCCTCGCAGCAGCATCACCTCCTGACTCCCTCTAAGGACAACAAAGGATAGAGTGACACAGTAAGTGCATGGAGGTGCAGCACAGAGAGAGAGAGAGAGAGAGAGAGAGAGAGAGCAAAGAAAATGAGTGAGTGGGTGAAAAAAGCAGACTCCTCACACTTCCTGTATGGTTTAAAAACACAGGAAGGGGGTATTTCAAAGTGTGACATCTCTCTATGCGGTGCTCAATACCTGGAGACAGGACGGACAGAAAATAAAATGTTGAGCTGAGAACAGCAGTAGAAGAAGAAGATGTAAAAGAAGAGGAGGACAGAGGGAGAAAATGAGCTAGTATTGGTGAGTGCTTGTGAAAGTCCACAGTCTTTGATCCTGTTCTGGCTTGTGTAACCATGGCACTGCTTTGTGTAACCATGGTGCTAACATGTGAAATTCCACACACACAGCACCCAGTCCTGGGACGACGCCGGCTGCACAGATCTCTGACCTGCCACCCAAATATGTCACCAGCGATGAGCATGGTGGGAGGCGCTGTTGGTCTTAAAGGTACACTTCATCCACCAAGTGACCATTTTTATATAAATTACTTACCCTGAGTTTCACTTAATATATGAAGCAAACTATTTTTCTAACATGCCTCCGGTGAGCAAAAAATCCCCAAATTTTGAAAATTCTTGATGAATTGAAGTCGTAGGGGTTCACATTAAACAACAGCAAAACTACATCAAAACATCCGTTCACACAACTCCTGCAGTATAATCCAGGTCTCATTTATCCAGTCATAAGCTTAGTACTTTCCAAACAGACAGACATTTCCAACAAGGAACTGAACAGAAAGTAAAACATAATCTGTACTCTCCTCAAAGCCAGACTAACAAAAACAGTAATTTTTCCTCGCTGAACATGGGAGCTGCTGGTCTTCCACTGCCTCAATCAGTTTATTTGTTTGTGTTATTGTGTAATTTTGTTTTTGTAAGGGGATTAGTTCAGATTCACCAAAGTCACACAATAACACAAACTAACTAACTGATTGAGGCAGTGGTAGACCAGAGGTGCCTATGCTCAGCAACCTAAAATTACTGTTTTTGTCAGTGGAGTCTGGCTTTGAAGAGAGCACTGATAAGGTTCACTTTCAGTTTGGTTCCCATCAGAAAGAGCTGTCTGTTCAAGAAGTACTTCCTTCATAGCACATGCATATGCATATATAACATATTCTCTATGGTTAGACAAATAAGACTTAGATTATACTGCACGAATTATGTCAGAATTTGTAAACAAATGTTTTAATATAGTTTTGCTGTTGTTAAACATGGACCTCTATGTCTTCAATTCATTGTTTTTTTGGATTCTTCATTCACTGAAGAGGCATTAGAGAAAAAGAATGTTTTCTTCACAAATTAAATATAACAGGGGGTTAGTGATATATATTCAAATGGTCATTTGGGGGGTGACGTATTCCTTTAATACCTCAACTGATGTGCACACTGTCAAACATATTCAGATACATGGCTGCACTCCATCACACCACCATCATGTCTGTCTCAGACACACACTTCCCACTGAATATAACTCACTGTTAATGGGATGCAAATGAATGTCGGTTTACACAATTACCTGGTAAAGGCATCTTTAAAGTAAATACATAATTTTCATTTCAACGTACACTGCAATTCAAAGGTTAATACTCTCCTGCCATAAAAGTTTTATTGGGTCCAGGCAGATGGCTGAGAGAATTATCTCTGTTCAAATGGTCTTTCATGCCTTTAGTTTATAGAAAGTCCTCTTTAAAAATACTGTAGATGTTATTTTGTTTAAAGGGTTTGTTTTGTACATGGAGAACAAAACACTGTACAATAGTTCAAATAACTGACAACTTAAAAGACAGAAAGAGACAAAGATCCTTCGGAGCAGCAGTTCAATAATAGAACAAATGAGTAGTTGTTGGTAAAAGGAACTGGAAGCTGAGCATCAAAATGTGTGCAGATTTAAATTTAAGTTAAGAGCACAAAAATGTCTATAACACCCTGCAATTAACAGGCAATGTGTGCTTTAGCACAGCTCTTCTTAAAGCTTCTTTAAACTGGAAATACTTGAGTAAAGGTGTTTGGGATCCAGTCATAGACAGTATTCTCCCCTGTACTGTGGAGACATCAACTAAATGGAAGATTGAATAATCTAATTCTTCCTCTCTTGGGTCGGAAACAATTTCAAATGTTCTGTTAAAGTAGTCATTATTGAAAGGAAGAAAAAAATATCAGTAACAGTTGATTCCAATGTTTTGAGCAGCAGTATACAGGCATTTGGCTACACAAACAACACAGTCACTTATTGGCTTCATGGTTTGTATGAAAACACTGTACAGTACGTTGGCACAGAGACTGATCCCTGACTGCTGCTGTGAGCTGACTCACATTTTCAGAGTTCAGAGGTTAATCTGCCATGTTTGCACACCCAGGCCAGATGCCATACAACACTGGGAGATTCCCAAACACAGAGGGGTGTCATTGGGCTAACTAGCTTTGTGCACTTTATCTGTGTGGGAGTGTAACAGAGTCTGAGACTATCAGTGAGTACATCAGGGAGGCTGTTGAGATCCTGTGTCAGGATTTAGGTTTGTATGCTGTTATGCAACACATACCTTCAGGGTACTTTAGATTAAATATATATGAATTACAAACTATGAGCTCATTGACCTTGATTTGATTGGTGCTTTCCTTCCCGGGCTGTGTTTATGTGCGTATGGTGCCTGCTGTTTGTATGCAGTTTATCTGCAAGTGATCAACACTGTGCAAATAGAACTTGTTGAGCTGATGTACCAGTCAGACTTTCTGGTGTGAGTAATATTGTCAGTTTTTTATTTGTTTAAATAGGAAAGGACTCTGAATGAGCCCTCCAGATTTCCTTCCTCTCCTGCACTGTTTTTTCTAATGTACATACAGTATATTGTATTTTTTATATGATTGTGCAAATAAAC